GATTACGACGACTACGGACCATTATTTTTGTCGCAGGTGTTCAAAGCTCGCCTAGTGATAAGGTGTCATAACACGAACACCGTTGGTTACATCGCGACGAGACTTGCAATAGGACACCGGTCATCCTAACCTGCCAACCAAAAAGCTATGCATTGCAAATTGTTATACTCTCTATAACATGTTTTGGATTCCGATCACATTGCTTACATTAGCATTTTAGCTGTCGCATCCATTACAAATAGTAATCTGTATATACATGTACAGTCAGATATGATAATTTCCAGGAATTATTCATATAATAATCGCATTACAATAGAATTGCAGATATTTTTTTTGTTAAATATATAATGTTATATTTGAAAGAGAATGAACAATAACTTATGACATTGTAAAGTTAACATTGAAAGTAACTCTTTTTAGCTTATGTAGGATCACTGCATCCTGTGTGAACGATTTTGAAATTTATTTTGTTGTTTGACCCTTTCAATTACGAGTTGGAGTTGTCTCTATTTTGTAATTTATTTGATGTATACTATTCTTGAAATCGTTTATCATTTAACTAAAATGCGAGCAAAGTTAAATTCAAAAACATATAAGCTATTTTCGACGTAATTTGCATTGCAATTTGGGACGATTGATGATGGTATAGTTTAGTAAATACGAATGTTCAATGACTTACAAATGAAATAAATAATTTTGAATATAATGTAGAACAGCTCTCCGGTACAAAACAAATAAATCTAACACACACAATTAAACGGAAAAAAATACATTTTTGTTTTCTACCTATGCTGATAGCCTTGAGAGGCTATTTCAGCTTCACCCTAACGTGTGTAGGTGAGCTCACGGGGCTCAAACCGGAGAGTTGCTAACACTGACCCTAGCAAGAGCAGTGCTTCGCAGAATCTACCACCGAATCGGAAACGCGACCCACTGAGAAGATCCGGCGAGAAACTCAGTGGGCTCGAACAATTTATAGTAAGTAGTATTTATAACTGTTGACTTCGTAAAATATCCGACAGTACCGATTCAAACCTACGTCGTATTTTTCTCTTCCAATTATAAATTCTATTGCAAAATCGAAACTCCGTCTTCAATATTAGTACGTCATAATAACATGCAAGTCTTGCAGACTCTGCCTTCCGGATATATTACTTTAAGGTTCTGTATTGTAAGCCAGCGATACAACGAAGCAAGGAGACAGTTGTCACTTACTACCTTCTAGGTTTTGGACCCAGCGCGTTAGATAGCGTCCGATCTCATGGCCCTCTGGATGTTAAGTGCTTACTGGAGCCAATAAACATAACAACGTGAATGCCACGTATGTGTTACATTGCATAGTTGGAGTGCAAAAACGACTGAGTAATGAGTGGTATTTTAAGGTTTTTTTAAAAGTGCCTTTTTTCCTGTTCTTATTAAATTAAAATTCATTACATATGTACACATATGTACATGTAGTAAATAAAATATTTTTATTCTTATGAGTCGTTAATTAAAACAGACACAGCAGCGGTCGATATACATAGAACGTATTATAATGTCCTCTATCTCTTTTGTCGTATCACTCTTGTCATAGCGGTCGTGGTTGGTCGGTTGTGGTCGTCATGCAGTATTATTGCTGTGGGCAGATGTTATGCGCCTCACGAGCAATCGCCACTTCTCCCGGTTTGTGGAGAGTCTGGTGGCTTTACTAGTGGTAGGACCTCGCGTGAGTTCGCACGGGTAAGTACCACCGCCCCGCCTATTTCTACCGTAAAGCAGTGACGCATTTCGGTTTGAAGGGTGGTGCAGCCGTTGTAACTATACTGAGACCTTAGAAGTCATGTCTCAGGGTGGGTGGCGGCATTGTACGTTGTAGATGTCTATGGGCTCCAGTAACCACTTAACACCAGGTGGGCTGTGAGCTCGTTCACCTATCTAAACAATAAAAAAAGCCTGGTATACTCATGCAAGCAACCGCCAATTGCCGACATAGTTCTACATATCGTCAAATGAGAGGAAACAGAAATACATTTTTCTGCACTAAACGCAAGCAGCGTTTCCTCCTGTGGCTCATTTAGATTATCGGCGAACAATTCGCCAAATAATTTCAGCACGAATACGACCACGCAAAGACCCATTTGTTTATTCATTTATCATTCAGTGAACCTAGGTATTTCAAACATGGATGACGTGCGATTCGCTTGGATGTCTATTCAATGCTGACTCACAAATGAAAATAATAATAAGAAACAAGACGGGGTTTTCCTCATCATTTCTAAACTCGTTAGAAAAATATATATAAATATACTCTTCAAAAAATTCATTTGTCGCAATACCATCGCAAATAATAAACCGCTTGCGACAAAGTTCACGAGTCGACTGAACAATGACGATAGGTAAAGAGCGCGGACGAACACCGACCAATAACCCTTTAGCATTATGCCTCATTTAGATACTCGCCGAGTACTGACGAATAGACGCGAATACGACTATCTAAGTCGTCGTGGCCTAAAGGATAAAACGTCTGGTGCATTCGTATGTAGCGATGCACCGGTGTTCGAATCCCGCAGGCGGGTACCAATTTTTCTAATGAAATACGTACTCAACAAATGTTCACGATTGACTTCCACGGTGAAGGAATAACATCGTGTAATAAAAATCAAACCCGCAAAATTATAATTTGCGTAATTACTGGTGGTAGGACCTCTTGTGAGTCTGCACGGGTAGGTACCACCGCCCCGCTTATTTCTGCCGTGAAGCAGTAATGCGTTTCGGTTTGAAGGGTGGGGCAGCCGTTGTGACTATACTGAGACCTTAGAACTTATATCTCAAGGTGAGTGGCGCATTTGCGTTGTAGATGTGTATGGGTTCCAGTAACCACTTAACACCAGGTGGGCTGTGAGCTCGTCCACACATCTAAGCAATAAAAAAATAAAAAAATCTAAACAGCCTATTCGGGTGTATTCGGTATTCGCCACTAATACTCATTCGTTCTCCGAGCGGTGTCGGTTTTTTGGCACGATTCAAAACATTATTGGCCGGATAGTCAGCCGAATTAAGATGAGGCCAAATTAGGCCAATGTAACGAAATTATTATGTAGTCATTAGTGCTTGATGCGTCTGCAAATTTTCATGTTAATCGAACGTTTTGAAGTTGATATTTCGAAGAGAGATTCAATTACATACAGGGCAGGCAATAAAAGCGTGCTCATAAGAACAGGACAATCTATTCAAATACTCAGCCAAACGTTCTTACAATTCGACGATGTGTGATTTACGTACATCCTGTCATCTTCCCTTCGTGTCCTTTTGTTATCGAGAACTTTGCCCTTCTTGTTTTATTTATAAGTGTTTATCGAACAACGAAAACATAATTACAATTTAAAATAGTTTTAAAGTTTAACCTTAGAAATATTTTTATAATCTATACTACAAGGAAGTTTGTTTGTTTGTTTGTTTGAACGCGCTAATCTCAGGAACTACTGGTCCGATTTGAAAAATTCTTTCAGTCTTAAGTAGCTCATTTATTTAGGAAGGCTATAGGCTATATAACATCACGCTAAGACCAATACAAGCGGAGCACCAATAAAGAATGTTTCAAAATCAGGGTTTTTCCCTTTTGAGAGCATCCGCTGCGTGCGCTGCGGAAACGCTTCAAGTTTCGCTAAAATAATGTATGATAAAATTGTTTCCTTTTAAAGTTCTAAAAAGTCCGCGTCAGCATAATAATATGTCCTATATTTTAAGGTTAGCTCACTATAACGTTTTTTATGCTAACCAAATTGGTTCTAAAATAAAGCATTATTTGTGAAGGTGTTTTTATGAAGATCATATTAGTCCCTATCCAAGTTTACAAGTATTTAATTTTGTAGGCTTTGAAAATTATAGATTTCTCTGGATTTCTCCAGGATTCCATCATTAGATCATTGACGATTACAGGACCATCCATCGGGAAGTCTACCCTTTCGAACAAAAGAAAAGAATTATCAGAATCGGTTCAAGCATTCTCGAGAAATCAGTGAACATACATAGATAAAAAAATTGTGGTCGAATTGATAACTTCCTCTTTTGAAGTCGCTTAAAAAGCGTAATTTTGGTACCTTAAATAGCTCCCTCCTTAACATTCTATTATCCAAAAATATTTTCACTTTCTACGTACATGAAGAGGCGAGTAAAATTTTGCATTATGCTAAAGTAACTATTCCACACGGACGAAGTCGCGGGCAAAATCTAGTGTTTCATAAAATCCTATTTTCGTGTTTTAGTATTCTTTTTCGGTTCGGAATTTTGATGACTCAATCGCGTAATAAGTGCGAGCAGTCCAAATCCCACAATATGCCAATAATGAAAACCAACTTTATATTAAATAAATAATAGTTTAAAAAAAGTAACAACATACGCTTTTATAGAAAATTCAACTAAAAATAGATTTTTTTTAAATAAATTTGAATTAAAAATAGTGTAAGAAAAAAATATTTTATTGTAAAAATTTATTTCCCCTTACATTTAATAATGGATAATAGCGGCTACTCGTGTGTAATTAGGAAATTCCAATTGCGAACGATCGATAAGTCGCTCGTTGTGGTACGTCGTGGGGTGATGAAAATGTTTCACATTATAAATACAACAAAACATGAAAGAGGAACATGTTTTTTGTAGCAAAACAAATTGCTTTAAAGGCAAACATTCTGCAGGTGAATGGTAATTTTAATGATCCTCACATATTTATATATAATATGTATGCATAAATTATTCAGTTAACTTGAAAGAAATGTGACTTAAATTCCAAATCACACTATCAATTTAAATGGTATGGAACAATGCCTCTTCAACTACAACGCTTTTTTAAAGGACCAAACATTCTATTAAATTTTACAATATTATTATGATATACAATAATATTATATAATTAATCACTTAATTAAATTTAAATCCAAAGTATTTTCATAATGCCTTGTCGATTTTACAAATACTTAAAGTAAACTTAATATTGAGGGAATAGATTACAAAAAGATTACCTGGCGGCTGGGGTGCTGGTGATGGAGTATCTGGGGCCACCGTAGTGCCCGGGGTGCTTTTCCCCCAAGACACGGCTCTGTCTACAAATAAAACGAACCAATGATTTTTTTTATGTTATAGGACTGGTGACATTGAAAGGTCATAATGATCTATTTCTACCAAAGAGCAGTTGCTTTTTAGTTTGGAGAGAGGAAGAGCCATCAAACATGCAAAGGAGTTTTCACACATAGATTTTAAGATATATGTTAGCTTTCACATGTCTACTACCTCCAGTTACCACTAAATAGATGAAGGTGGGATGGTGCTTGTTAAAGCCCTTTCACCCACATGCCAATATGAAGACATCCATCTAATATGCAGGCATCCAGACTGTGAGCTCATCCACCCATGTACGAAATAAATAAATAAAAAGCTGTAATAACAGCAATTTGAAATTCAACAAGACTGAATTTTTAAAAACATTATTTAGTGATGTTAACTAAATCAAACAATTATATATTATTTAACTAACATCTTCTGAATATATTATATTTAACTTGACAATCAATTTGATTTCTTTTTGTAATGTTTATGATTAATAGGACTAAGTCTGTATATGTTTTTTTCCATACTGTCAGTACTAGTTACTACAAAATGGAACAGATGTCTATTAGAATATGGTAAACATTATTTGTGCAATAAATCATTTTTATTCATTTATTAAACATTTAATCTGGATATCTTAAACCCTAACATTCTTCAAAGAAATTTGCCTGTAATTCAGTCTCACTTGTGAGCTCTTATGTTAATTTTTTATTCGATATTCATTAAGTTAAGCATTTAGTTTACTTATTAATTTCATTTTAAAACAAATGCCTTTCCCAACTTTATTTTGACTACAATTTTGTTTTACTCAGATTTTGAATTTGACCGTAATGATAAATGTTTTGTATAATAGCATTATATATTCCAATAAAACTTTTTTTTAGTTTTATCAGTAACCATGACATAAAATACCTTTTTCCTACAATTGAACACTATTTTTAATTGTGCTTAGTAGAATTATGTTTTTATTCATATCAATGCTACATTTATTGGTAGTCATTAAAAATTAAAATTTTATTAAATATTACGGCTTTCTGTAATTTATTTAAAACTTCTATGTCCTCATTGCATTCTTTTGAAAATATTAAAAACTAAAAAGCTTCGCTTAATCTTTTTTTGTAAACAGATTGAAGTTATTTGATTAAGGACAATCTATTAAATTGCTGACACAGCTCGTTTTAATAATTCATATATGACCACTATATAAATAACAACTAATGTATATTTTAGTTCCCATTTTGAAGTAATGAGATTGTTTTTGTTTGGCCTAATTCTGTTAAAATACTCTATGCATTATACATATAGAATGGCCTTTTACTCCCGAGAAGTGAAGGGTGCACATTCTCAGGAGTGAGAGGCCATTCTATTGGTACCAATTAAGCAACCATGATCAGTAACACTACATAATTCAAGTCATGTATTAAGCCACACACTGACAGAAGAACTTTAGTAAAATGGTTCTTCATTTATAAATAGACATGATTGATTGATAGACCATTGAACTAATTAACGTAACCGATACAGAGCACGAAAAAGCGAAATTCTGCGTCACAAAGGAGCTCCTTTGCTCGCGTCCACTCTCAAGACACAGTAGACGCCTCGCGAACTTACCTTGGGATATACTCTCACACGAAAAATGTTGCTCGAGAGCCAGTCAAACGACTGCTTTAACAGAGAAACAGCATGGAACCAATTCTTTCTTTTGGGAAGAATTAAAATCGATAAAATTGTAACGAATAAAACGTTGGCACGGTGTCACTGAACGCTGGCGCGATCGTGCTAGTTTGCTTCGTTGACCGCGACCGACACTCCCGAATGAATAATACCTTTGTTAAATAAGTTACGGCGGTGAAATAACGGGATTTCTGACGAGCTAACACACAGAGATTGCACAAAGAAAGATGTCAGGCGAGATGCACAGACTGACATCAACATAGATTATCACAAATATACAGCAAAATAAAGTATGACCTCTATCATTGAGAAATACTCTTTTATAGAGGTCCCGCAAAGCAGTTTGTTATGTAGGGTTACCAATCTAACTGATTTTAAATGAACTGATGCTATTCTATTAAAAACGGTGGAAACTGACATACTAGTATTACCGTGATTTCATTCCTTTCATGAAATTTATTTTTGTATCTCTGATTAGAAATTAAAGATCAAAATCTGTTTTAATTCTCACAAAGTTTACTTTTCATTGGGGATTTAAGAGAAAGATGCAATTGATTAATTATTGATTTTTACCCATTTTGTAAATTTCTATGGTAAACATTTACTATAAATATTCGAAGACGAATGTCGGATCATAATATAAATGTGTATTTAACGTTTGATGTCTGATGTTTACCACGGATGAGTTCCTGTTAACATAAAACAAAATCCAACTATAATAGTAGTAGTAGCACCAGCAAGCAGGTTGTTTGCAAGATTTTACAAAACTATTACAAAATATATTAGTTAATTAAATGCAAGTTAAAAGCTTTTAAAAAAAAACAAGTGCGGTCGGGCAGAAGCCGCCAGGAATGAAATTCCTTATAACTTAAAAAGGTATAAGAATATTAAAGAGTTTAATTTAGTATTTTAGTTTTTTTTATTTATTAGATTTGTACCTATTAAAGTAATTAAAAATAAATAGAAAGTTAATTAAAACCTCAGTTTTAGACAATAAGCCACGCACAATAATCGTCTCCTAGAATCTTGATATAAACACGCATACAATAACGAACTAGTTTAGAAATAATAAAAAATAGCGATAGAGAGAAATTCGGTTGAAGGGATATAGCACTGTTTCGTTTATATGATGGCTTTATCAGTCAAGTCCTACCGCAAGCTTTGCTATTATATTGATCCATTCCAATAAATCTATAATTATTAAAAAAAAGTTGCTATCGGCCATGAAAAGGCAGGTGCGGTACGAAAAAGAAAGAAAAAGAGACTGGAGTATCTTTGGTAAACTTAATCTAAGTGCGAAAACAAAATGTAAGCGTAACATTTTGCATATGTTGCATTTTTATTGTTAAAATAAAAACAAAGGAACATAGAAATTTTATTCATATTTAATTTTGTCATACTTATTATTAAGATAAGTTTTTCCCGTGTTCAAAGTTTGGTTGAATTTGTGCATCGTGTATAAATTGGTAGCCTCCTGCATTAGGTTCGCCACCTGTAATCAAGTTTATGATTATAAAACCTAAAATTCATCACAATAATGTAAATTGTACTTATTCCTAATGTATAGATCATACACCATTCGTCTGCTTGGGATGATGATTTGAACATCCATGTACCATGCAGATAGTTTAAAAAAACTGTATAGTTCAGTGGGCCAGCCCAGTTTGACTTATTTGGTAAATCTGTTAAAACTCATATATTACCTAAATAATTAAGCAAATTAGTATTTTGTAGTTTTAAAAGATATAAATCCCATGTAACGGTGGGTGGTCACCGTCAATCATTGCCATGAACTATTTCAGAAGCAAAGCTTTTTTAGTACCTAACTGCCAGTAGCCACTTTTTTTCCTTTTTTTTTCCCCTACCTATGCTGATAGCCTTGAGAGGCTATTTCAGCTTCACCCTAACGTTTGTATGTGATCTCGCGGGGCTCAACCTGAGAGTTGCTAACACTGACCCTAGCAAGAGCAGTGCTTCGCAGAATCTACCGCCGGATCGGAAACGCGACCCACTGAGAAGATCCGGCGAGAAACTCAGTGGCCTGTGTCTATAGGTTAGTTCGCTCGTCGAGCCCTTCGTCGCAAGCGACGAGGACGGTGACAGTAGCCACAAGGGGCTATTCTGGCTTTACCAGAAGGAATAGTCAAATCATTGCCTAACAAAACCATATTTTCCTAATCAACATAGTTCCTAATCAAATTATGTAACAGGCTAATAAAAGATGTTTCGAGATCCCAAACTACGGTGTCATCCATTTGTTACAAATTCAAACAGTGGGTTGTAAATGGCAACACTTAAATATTAGGCCGAAGTTGTCTTACGCAATGAACTTTGCAAAAATACATACCGGGACCATCAGCTGATAGATGTTGGTTACCGATCAATATTTGTTCCCCACCGGGATCTCTGTTTTCTGTTCGGAAATTAGCTGGCTGTACCTATGGGCGTGAATATATTTTTGTTAGCATTGAGTTTTTATACTTTTATGAAACTTTGTATTCAAGGATTATTAGTCTTATGAAATTTACGATGGTTTTTCAATATGGTTACACTATTAATTGTTTAATTGCATAAGATGCTGAATAGCCTTTTGTATATTTCTCTTCCACTTTTATTCAGTTCAGGAACCTCACGCTCAGTTAATCATTGACCTCTTCATTGGTTTCCGTATGGATTACTTCCAATAACTGAAGTAACGGTTCCCAATTTGAAGGTCTCTTCTGAACATTTTTTTTTTTTTTTTTTTTATTGCCCTTGTAGGCAGACGAGCATACGGCCCACCTGATGGTGAGTGGTTACCGTCGCCCATGGACTTCAGCAATGCCAGGGGCAGAGCCAAGCCGCTGCCTACCGAAAACATGGCCATTTAATCACAGTCAACTCAATGCAGTCTACTGCATTTAATCGATAATGTCGTATAACTACAGCCAGAATCGAATGGATTGGTTATAGAATAGAAGAAGATTAGTTTCGTAATTATAACCGGGGTCACTTGGAATCCTTGTTTATTATAAGCCTTGACAGTTTGACAGTTGTTCTTCATAATCCGCGAACTGAGACTTAGCGCACGTACCTACTCGTTAAGTGGGATGTTGGTAAGGATTGTCATCTGATCAGTCCAGCGCATGGGGTTTCGTCCACGAGATCTTTTACCATTGACCCTACCCTGAACAACAAGTATCTCGATAGACTCTGCTGGCCGTCGCAAAAAGTGTCAAAAATATTGGACAATGCTCCAAATTTGTCATGGAATTTTTTATGCTAAATATACCTACCTGGCCATCATTCCTCATGAGATCAGGGAACACCGAACCGCCAGGATATCTGTTGTAGATCCCGTTCAAGTTGTAATGCAAGTTCATATCAGGCCCAATATTAGCTTTCAGAAGCTGCTCCCAAATTCCACCTGTTAATAATAGGTAGGTACGTAAATTTAATATTGAATTATCACTTTAAAATTATTTAATTTTAAATATTCCGCCTGTCTGGTTAATAATAAAAGAACGACATTGACCAGTTTAGTTAAGATTCAGTACCGCAATATGTATGTTGTATGTACCTTTTATAAATTACAAGCTTATTGTGTACTTTACTGTACCTTTATCTACTGACACAACAGGCCTGTTTGACTGCCAAGGATATTCTCCATGAGCTTGGAAGTAAATAGCATAAGTCGACAACTGTAAATAAGATCCGAGATTTACGATAAATTAATTTTCAGTAATATACAAAATATACTTAGAGCTGTATTTCTGGGCTTATATTTAATAAGATTAATTAATAAGTTAAATTCAATTATGAAGATGAGATTTACGAAAAATGAATTTTCAGCCGTGTGCAAATAGACTTAGAAATCTGAGTTCTTAGACTTAGAACTGTAGAACTGTAGTAATAAGATTTGTTAATAAGCTTATTAAGAAGATCAACATTCCTTTTCACCGAAATACAGATTTACACGTTTCCATAAACCTATATACGTTAACGCAATAAATATACCTACTACCAACAGTCTAATAGGTAACCGTGTCAATCAAGTCTCGAATCTACGTCCTTTCCAAATAAAGTCTACTATCAAATTTTGATGTACGTCGTGGTGACTGACTCTTTTTAATCGTCTTCAAAGAGACTTGTTACTGGTGGTAGGATGTCTTACGAGTCTGCACGGGTAGTTACCACCATGCCTATTTCGGCCATAAAGCAGTAATGCGTTACGGCTTGAAGGGCGGCGCAGCCGTTGTTAAAAGTGAGACCTTAGAACTCATGTCTCAAGGTGGGTGGCGGTGTTTACGTTGTAGATGCCTATGGGCTCCGGTAACCACTTAATTTCAGGTGGGCCGTGAGCTCATCCAGCTAATTAAACATTAAAAAAAAGAAGTATTTTACTGATGCTTATTCTAAGAGATGCTTAATTGTCTTCGAACTATATTAATAGTAATAGCTAATGTTAGTGCATTTTTTGTTATACAATTTTGCTTAAGTTACATTCGTTTTTGTTAGTTTAATAATTGTAAACAGACATGCTTTAACAAAAACCAAAGATCTTCCAAAACAAATTTACCTACACTAAAAACAATAATCATCGAAATCGGTTGGCGTGATATTGAGTTATTCATCTATATGTCGCGCACGTACTTAACTTAACACTTATATGGTTTTCATATGGATACTGTTATCAGAACTGGACGACTTGAAATGGGACCTTTTTGGGAAACGTCAGCTTTCTAATAAAAAAAGAATCATCAAAATCAATTCACGAAGTCAAAAAACATAAAAAAGTACACAGTCTAATTGAGAATATCCTCCTTTTTTGAAGTCGGTTTAAAAAAATATTTATATCCTAACTTAAATAGGACAAATATTACAGATTTCAAAGACCAAATTGCAATTTTAGTTAAACAACGGCAATTTACAAGGTGAATAGACAGACAGCTTGGGCGCAGTGACGAGCTTCAGCCGAGCGGCACTAATTAAGAAAATATGGTGTCTGTGATACGAACAGAAGTTCAATCAACTTGGTTAATATATAGTAATTTCACCTGCGTATAATACAACGCCAGCCAATATTTCCCACCGTGACCGACGAAAGCAGTTGAATTTGCATCCATCAAACCATTCGGGAGCTCCTGATGGAGCATATCTGGTGATATTCTTAGGTTGCATCCATACCTATTTCAAATGTTTTGATATAAAACTTTTTTAATGAAATGAAAGTCATAATCAAAGTATTAAAATTGAGAATACTCTCCACTATGGAAGGATGATACGCGAGTAGTGATATAATAGTAGATAACTTCTGGTAAATAGACGGAATGATCTCCTAATATCCCTTTCTCTCTGTGTGATCTATGTATCTAATGAGAGAGAGAGAGGGAGTATTCTTTATTATACACCATAAAAATAAATAAACAATGCGATATATTAAATACAAAAAAATCCATTGGCGGTCTTATCGCTAAGAGCGATCTCTTCCAAACAACCATCAGGTTGACAAGAATCATTTGGAAATCCAGTGAAATATATTATGTATACACATACATACATATATTTATAAATATACATACAAATACACAATATAATATAATAATAATTATTAAAAATGATTGACTAATGCATGATTGTTTTGAATTAAATATATTAAAATATTTTACCTTATCCAGGTATAATTCTTACCAATCAGGGCATGCCTTCAGTATGTCGTAGGGCGCTCGGTAATATTCTACCCTTCTAACTATTGGATTTCGTATATTGAATCTTTCATTTGGATCGGTAAGGTTCACGCGTTTTATCTTTATGTCCCTTCTTTCGCAAATATAGTCGTAATGAAATTTCGGTACAGATTCTCCTCTAGCGCAAAACGTTTCTAGAATTATATTAGTATTTACAATTAACCTAGTAAATAATTTGATGTATAAATTATAATGAATATTTATGTTTGGGACAGTGTCTATGAGGAGTCTCGTAAATAATTTGAAACATTTCATGCCATACTGACTTTTCCATAAAATATATGGCGATTTTCTATCACATCTTGGAACTGTAACCTTTTTTCTTCAAATATCATGATGATCCATGATCTATATATATATATATATATATATATTATTATATAAATGAATTGTTGCTCGTTAGTCTCGCTAAAACTCGAGAACGGCTGGACCGATTTGACAAATTTTGGTCTTGAATTATTTGAGAAGGTTTAAAAAGTAGATAAATATGAAAATGCTCGAAATGAAATAAAAATAACAATTTTGTTTTCCCTTTGATGTGTCCCCCGTCGGACGGATTCCTTTTGTTTGTTTCAAGTTTATTTAATACAAAAGTTTAGGTCTTTTATTTATCGATTGAGGCACTACGAAGTCTGCCGGGTCAGCTAGTAGTATAATGAAAAAACAAACTTTTAAATGTCCCGTCAATTGTATGCACCGAAGCGAAATTGTCAATGCAATAGCGGTATCCCAACGCTGTTGGATATCTCAGGTACGGTACTTTGCACGAGAATCTCCCTTCTTGGTACATGGCTCCCTGAAAAGGAAGGATTGGCATAGCGCCTGAATTTACGAACAACAATTCGGAGATGATTTGTCAATGGTATCATTTTATAAACGTTCACACATCTCCAACCTCATACGTTAGACCATGCGAGACAAGAACTGGTACGCCCAGAACGCAAACGCCTAACGTTACTGGTGGTGGGACGTCTTATGAGTCCGCACGGATAGGTACCATCACCCCGCCTATTTCTGCCGTGAATCAGTAATGCGTTTCGGTTTGAAAGGTGGGGCAGTCGTTGTAACCATACTGAAACCTTAGAGCTCACATCTCAAGGTGGGTGGCGCATTTACGTTGTAGTTGTCTATAGGCTCCGGTAGCCACTTAACACCAGTTGGGCTGTGAGCTCGTCCAACCATCTAAGAAATAAAAAAATAAAATATAAAAAATTAACTCTGACTGCGAACTGACTCCCGTATAGTCACTCACTTTACATATAACACTTCTTCTACCGGGAGGTCTGGAGACACCTCCGAAGCAATAAGTTCTCGTGCCGTTTATCATGATCTCAGTGGCGCCAATATGAGATATCAGTGTGATCCCGTTGATACCAGCAAGCGCAAAGCGTTGGAGACCGGCGCGCTTGCGAACTTCAACGTTATTCTTCATGCTCATAGTATTCACAATTGCTTGCCAACCGTACACAAACTCGTGCATTGGACCTGAAAAGTTGTTTTTAATTTAAATATCTATGGTGGCATCTATCCACCACAACCGAATCTTGTTTTACATTCTGCGCAACTATAACAAGCACCTCCCAAGTAACGGTATCATGATCGACAGTCCTCGAGCTAATGTATATTGTTATATTTGTTAGTTTTAAATAAATCTATGGCAGTGCTGGAAAATTTTCGACTAAGGTATACTAAAATAGTAGATAATCTGTTCTAGCTCCCCTGATTTTGTGATTTCCATTATTTCAATAAGGAACACAGCAGGACTTTTTTTCACCGAAATCCGTTTTACACACAAACGTTTTTTTTTTTTTTTTTCCTACCTATACTAATAGCCTTGAGAGGCTATTTCAGCTTCGCCCTAACGTTTGTAGGTGAGCTCGCGGGGCTCAACCGGAGAGTTGCTAACACTGACCCTAGCAAGAGCAATGCTTCGCAGAATCTACCACCGGATCGGAAACGCGACCCACTGAGAAGATCCGGCGCGAAACTCAGTGGGCTGTGTCTATGGGTTAGTTCGCTCGTCGCTCGGGTTCGACGAGGACGGTGACCGGGGTAAACGTAAATGATGTAATAATATTTCCCACGGAACACTTTTACTGTAATTTTTGTAGAAAAACTCTTACCGATCCCAAAACTGTCTCCGTCCAGGAAGTTAAACATTTCTCCGAAAGAATCCGGCATGAGGCCTGCTATAACAGTTGAAGCCGGTATCCCGTCATCAGGTAGCATTGGAGCGATCTCGTCTGGGGGCGTCGTGAACTCGTGAGCCGACATGTTGTTGTAGTGCCCATGGCCACTTTCACACTGTAATTATTAGACCGGTCCTAGATTTTTTTATAAGTCACATAAGCAACGTTCAATGTATCGTGAAAATATTTTTGTTTCCATTCCCGTAAGTAGGCAGCCGAGCCTACTACCCATTACTCTATTAAGTGGTTATCATAACAGCTAACTACATTGTGCCAAAAACAAGGCCTCTTTATTAGATTTGGGATAAGAGAAACCTTAACGTGAACATGCCTGAACATAGGTATCTTCAGGTATGATTTTATTTGACTACAGTTACCCTGAGGAAAAAATTCGCATTTAAGCAAAATAATGAAACGTCCTAAAAACGTATCCCAAAGGAATCTTCTATATTTTCGGTATACAATATCTCAAGGCAGTTTTCGTCGCAATTTCAACTAGAAGTAAACAGATGATTTACAATAATTTCCCATTTAACAATTTTCCCGTGAACATGTGAATTCTGATTAATATTTCTATGACAAAAGTATACAAAAGTATTGGAGAAGTTATTTACTTGTCAATGCCAAATGCTAAATTTAAATCTGAGCATTGAACTATTCTCATAAGAACAACTCGCTATAACCCTATTTTTTGTCATGGAAATATAAATATGTAGTTGTTATTGATATTTCTATGGCTTTTCCTTAACTTCTTAAATTCTAAGAGCATCATAAAGATAGTAATAAATATGAATAAATACCTGAATAATAAATTTGAACAATAAAATCAGATGCAGCAGCCACATGTCGTAATCAATTTAGGACAACTAAAAAGGAGTTTCGTGAAAAGGGTTAAAATAATTGGCAATTTATTTTTAGTGTTCCAATTAATACTGGTAGTTAGTTTATAAAATGCCTAACAAAAATTTACAACTACAATTTAATACCGTTACCATATTTTTATATTGTTCATAAAAACATTGTAATGTTTTAGTGTACGTCAATTCAAACTCATGTCATTATTTCTATTCTCTTATCCGACTGCGACGGGGCAACACAAAGCCGTCGTCGCCCGAAACATGTCTTGCCTTTTTTTGTTTTTTTTTTTATGCTACCTAAGCTGATAGCCTTGAGAGGCTGTTTCAGCGTAACCTTAACTAGTAGGTGAGCTCACGGGGCTCAAACCGGAGTGATGCTAACACTGACCCTAGCAAGAGCAGTGCTTCGCAGAGTCTACTACCGGATCGGAAACGCGACCGATTGAGAAGATCCGGCGAGAAACTCAATGGGCTGTGTCTATGGGTTAATTCGCTCGTTGAGCCCTTCGTCGTAAGCGACGGGTTCGACGAGGACGGTGACCGGTGCTAGTGGTGCCTAAAAGCACCGTTAATGGATCGGGAGGATCCGTAATGACGTGCTTTGGGCGACGTCGACTGTTTACCATTCGGTCTACAGGATCGGGTAATCTCTTGTCGGGTCCCCCGGATTCACTCTCGGTGCTTTTAGGCCTCTCAAGCATCGGTCACCGTCCTTGTCGAACTCGTTTATTACGACGAAGAGTTCGATGAGCGAACTAGCCCATTGGCATATCCCACTGAGTTTCTCGCCGGATCTTCTGAGTGGATCACGATTCCGATCCGGTGATAGATTCTGCAAAGCACTGCTCTTGCTAGGGCTAGTGTTAGCATATTCGATCAGGTTGAGCCCGTGAGCTCACCTACCCGTCCGGCCGTAGCTGGAATAGCCTCTTAGGCTACCAGCGAATAGGTAGGGGATAAAAAATCTATTCTATTCACGTATTTCTGGTCTGTAGTGTGGGACGGCCTTTAGACAACACAATTGAGACGACGACCTCATGTCTCAAGGTAGATGGAGGTGTACATGTTACGATATCTATGAGCTCTGGTTTGCTCAGGTAACACTAGGTAGACCGAGAGCTCGTTCAGTTATCTCAACCAATAAGTACTTTCGGTATTCATGTATGTATTAGTTTGACTGCAGCTATAAAGTAATAATAAAAATTACACAATATCGGAGAGTTTTACGTGGATATTGTCGACATTGAGCCATCGCAACTCTTGGAGGTCACTGAGAATAAAATATCCACGCATACAATTCGCTGATGCAAAAAACAGACATTTACCGTAAAATGTCGACTCCGTTAATTTACAATATGCGTGTCTCTAATACAGTTTTTAATTGTTATCAAACACGTTCCAAAAGATCACGTACATGTTTTTAGCCTGCATAAGAATTCTTCTCCATGAATAACTTTTTTTATTTATTTATTGCTTAGATGTGTGGACGAGCTCACAGCCCACCTAGTGTTAAGTGGTTACTGGAGCCCATAGACATCTACAACGTAAATCCGCTACTCACCTTGAGATGTTAGTTCTAAGGTCTCAGTATAGTTACAACGGCTGCCCCACCCTTCAAACCGAAACGCATTACTGCTTCACGGCAGAAATAGGCAGGGCGGTGGTATCCACCCGCGCAGACTCACAAGAGGTCCTACCACCAGTAATTACGCAAATTATAATTTTGCGGGTTTCATTTTTATTACACGATGTTATTCCTTCACCGCGGAAGTCAATCGTGAACATTTTTTGAGTACGTATTTCATTAGAAAAATTGGTACCCGCCTGAGATTCGAACATCGGTGCATCGCTCAACGCGAATGCATCGGACGTCTTATCCGTTAGGCCACGACGACTTCAAATAACTATCATTATATGCCCCACGTCGATCCCACTACTTATACATCACTCCATAATTGCTTTGAGATACTTAAAGCAATAAAATCAAAGCGTAATCCTTAGCTCAGTCCAACCATAAAAGAGTATGTAAGAATATCACACCAAAGCTAAAAAAATATTGATTTTTGGCTTGAAGGCTATTTATTAATCGTCTTCTTCTTCGGCGGCTACCAGGAAAAATAGTTGACAGATACGCGTTAACTTCGCTAAAAACAATAATCTGTATTAATTGATTAACGAACGGAAATCAAATTTCATGAAATATTGCATTCCAAACTCAATTTATCAGTTATCACAAAACTGAGAGATTCCAAAAAATGAAATCAGAATTACTTTAAATTTAATGCAATCGCCCGCACGTGCTCTGTCGCGATCATAAATATTATAATCAAAAGAGATTCAATCAAAATCTTACGTGTTAAATTTGCGATTCTTTTAGGAGTTTTCTTCACCAAAGTATAATATACAGGCAGACCAAGTAATGTGATTAGACTTCCTGATATTACAGCTATGGGCTCACTCACAACCGGTATTATGAGAAGGGAGGCCGTGGTGATCACGAATATTACGGGCATCCACAGTTGGACCTGGAGTTAAATAGATAGAGGAAGATATTCACAGCTGTTCATGAGTCCACGGAAGGCCTGATGGTTGTAAGCTTGCCACTCATGTGAGAGGTTTTCATATTCGACTTTGAATGGATTCTATATGCGCCGTGAGAGCTTACGATATTATTTTGATATAGCTTATTAAAATTTGAACGTTGAAAAATTTCGCCTAAGACGCAGATGAAAGTTTAAGTAAAATTTAAAACAAAATTTAAATTTAGTATTTATTTATATCATTTAGCATTCATTTAGTATTTATTTATATCATTTTCAAACATTGTGTTAATAAAATCAGAGCGCTAATGATTTCAATGTTTTTTTCGTTCACTAAGTACCCTTAATGGAAATCTTCACCAAATGTAAGCTTTCTTCAGCGATAAGTACTTAGGCCTCGATTGAATAATAATAAAAAATTCTACTCACTACAGAGAAAGATAATCTTTGTACATTTTCTTTTAGATGAAACGTTAAAAGTATGTGATGTCCCCGCATTCGGTCTTGAATAAAAAGGTGTACCTCCTCCTTGCGTCGTATTCCTCATTGCTGAGGGTCGTGACCACCCTTTTGAATCACCTTCGCACGCACGATCTTTCTCCATTTATTCTTGTCTCTGGCGGTGGAGGGCGTTGTGAAACGTGGAATCAAGAGCGGTGCGGATCTGGTCGGACCAACGTATTGGGCTGCGACCCCGAGGTCTTTTTCTATCTACCTTACCAGTCACGATGAGCCTCTCGAGATTGCCACCATCCTTCCGAAAAAGGTGTACAAGTGGTATATTAAAAATTAAAACGAACACACCTTGATGGGTCTGTGTAAATTCGGCCTCTTATATCTTAGCCAAATAACAGCAAAACAACAAAGCGTCGTGAAGAATGACTCAGTAACGGTGCAATACGTGATTAGTGACGTCAGATTCTCAGGTATTAACATCAACAACGATAATAACATCTAAAAAAACAAATTTTAAATTTATCTTTGAAAGACTTCTTCTTATTTCGTAGACAAGTAATGAAATAACTACGAGCATATGTATGTATCTTTATTAATAGGCATTGATGAACTTTAGGCTTGAATTTTGCTTAGCAGTTTGTTCTTTAGTGATATTATACATTCTAAAGACTCTCTCATCGTGTATAGAACTTGCCCAATCATACTTTTTTGCTTCTTACGTGAATAATTATTTGAACGCCTGATCCTATCTCTAAGAAATAGTTATATATAGATTGCATACATTTACATGAATAAGCTGCAAATCAAGCCACTGTCTTACCAAGAAAATTAAGGACGGCACAGGAGACATGCATTTGATATTAATATGCGCTAGTATTTCAGGTAAATGTCCATTTCTTGCTCCAGCGAAGCACATGCGCGATGAGGTCATTATGTTCACGGAGAGACCTCCAAGAGTCGCAATGGCTACCAATGTCGGCATTATCCAACTAAGCCATCCGGCAATTTTAGAGGCAAAATCCTGTCCAAAGAAAGGGTTCAGAAAGAGTACAAGTTGAAAGATCGTGGTACCAAATTTTACTGATAGTAGGGATTTTGTGAACCCGCACAAGAAGGTACCACCACCCTGCACATTTTTGCCACGAAGCAGTAATGCGCTCCAGCTTGGAGAGTGGAGCAGTTGTTGTACTACAGAACTAGATTTAAAACTTACGTCTCAATGTGGGAGCCGGCATTTACAATGCTGATCTCTACGAGCTCCGGTAACCACGTAACACCAGGTGAGCCGAGCTTGTTCACCCACCCAAGCAATAAAGAAAAAACCTATAATCGCGGATGGCTTATGTAATGTTATTATTATCTTTATACATATACGAGTATATAATTATACTGTACGTGTGTATGTCACTGAACTCCTAAGCAGCTGGACCGTTTTGAAGGATTTTTTGTATGCGTTTGGATAGCGCCCTGGATGGTTTAGATTCACATATCAACACGGCAGATGGCGTTGCAGTCAGTATCTAGGTAATTCATCTAGGTATACCTACTGCAACTAAACGGCTGGATCGACTTGAATGAACTATTGTGTATCCGTTCACAGGACGTCTATCGGGTTGGCTAGTAATACATAATATATATATTATTCAAGGTTAATTATTGTATTACTTTTCAATTGGTATCGTTCAGTTCGGTTATCACAAAGAATGCAAAATATCCTTTTTTTGAACTTAGTTTAAGCTTAAGCATTAAATTAATTAAAATTCTATATAGTTAGATACTAACAACGGCAATAGCTTCTGTACTTAACATATCTCGTCCAAGCACAGCCAAGTAAGAAATGTTTGCCATCACATATACAATAGTAACCAGAGGTAGAGAAATGTATATCGCGCGAGACAGATTCACATACGGATCGACTAGCTCTTCTACCATGAAGTTTAAATAGTTCCTTAGGACAAAAATGTTCGACGTGCATATATGATTTATTGATTTAAATACTAAAACTATTAGAATAATGTGATAAATGTAATTTAATTTCAATATCATAAAAACATAATGTATGCAGAACTTACCAACCAGAATATGAGAATATTCCCAAAAAGAAAGCGATCGACCAGTCGCTTATAGACGTAGTCGTACCTGTCCAACCGTGCGAAAAATTCTGCGTGTTCCCTAAAAAATACCTAAGTAAATTTTTAATTGATTTTAGTGTTACCTAATTCTACTATGGCCCATTTGAACGGAGACTTAAACCACTAGTAAGTTACGCTTAATCTGAGGCATGGTGAAAAGCAATAGCTATTTCAAACGCAATTTCACGCAAAATCTCTGATGGCTGGGCTTATGCTCGCCCACCTATTGCGGTGAAGCCGGAAAGATGTGTGAGCCACAATCAAATCATCCCAATAAAAACTAACACAAAAAAAAACCTTAATCGTTTGTTTAGAATTAACAGATGTATGGTAATTTTGGGTTACCAATTGCATCTTATTAAGAAGCAATCACTCTAAAAACGTTCCAAATAATTCAATATTAACCTTCAGCCAGCCAAACTACACCGCCGCCCACGACCATTACTATTGCGGACAGCATTGTAAATGTGAATAAGTTTTGTAATCTCGTCGTGAACTTTATGTCGTAAGAGTTAATGAAGGTGAATAGACCTAAAAAAATAATATTTATTGAGTTGCGCGTGTGGCAGCATACGAACTCACCAAACACTAAATATTTAAATACATAGTTACAAGAATGAGAAAATGTTCTAAAGAGGGTTTTGATTTAGGTCAGCATAATTAGGTCCGAATGTGATTATCATATTTTAAATGCTCACTATAGCCCATGCTGTCATTGAAGCTGTCCTATCTTGCCTTCGAATGAACTCTTCAAGGATTTAGTTTTTTTTCCTATCTATTCACTGGCAGCCTAAGGGACTATTACAGCTAATCCCGCCCGGGTAGGTGAGCTTACAGGCTCAACCTGTGAGAATTTGCTAACACTAGCCCTAAAAAGAATAGTGCCTCGCAGATTCTACCACTGGATCGGAATCGCGACCTACTGAGAAGATCCAGCGAGAAATTCAGTGGGTCGTGTCTATGGGCTAGTTCGTTCGTCGAACTCATCGTTGTAATTGACGAGTTCGACGAGTACGGTGACTGGTGCTTGACAGCTTAAAATTTAGTGTGAGATACAGCGTTGAGAAAGGAGACGGGAGATTATTTTGGCTTAATTTTCATAACTAAGTGGTTTCGCTTCCTGCCACTAATTCAGGCTCTTACCCACTTCTCACTCATTTGCTGGGTCACCGATATAAAACAAAAACAAACAAAAATATGGAAAGTAAACATATATAAGTAAATTGAATATAATTTAACTAACATATAATCGAGGCGGCAATGAGTTTTCTACAAACAGGATTTATGAAACAACCACTGAAAATAGGCTGGAGAACATTGTTGGCAAATGTTAAAGCCATGATTGCATTCGAAGTCGGTCTGAAATAGTTTTGGATTAAATGTCATAGTTATTATTGGCGCGAACTGCGAGCGCAGGAAGGGGCTGTGTGCCGACAACGTCAGTACTTCTATGGCACCATTGGATATAAAATATTTATAGCAGAACGACGAACATTACTATTAATTAGTAATATTCGTGAATTTTGCTAATTAGTGACTCTTAATCTGTATTGTATGAATCGACGACAAATTACAGACGCTAACCTGACCCCTGAAAATAAACTAAGATTCCCGCTACTTCCGTATTAGAACTAGAGAATGACATACATTCACAATACGTTCAAATATTTACAAATATAGACATTCAAAAACAGAGCTAAGAAAAAACAAAGATGTAAGTACGTCACGTGAATGCTTACCCGATGTGGGAATTGAATCTACGATGCTTGGCCCAGGAGTCGCAGACAACGAGCGTCATCGAGTCATTCACACATAATCTTAATACTTTAATCAATTTTCAATTTAAAATCAGCTTTTTCGTAATAATATATATCATTTTGATCGTCACGTCTTTAGTATAAATTCAACATTCACATTTAGGTACTACTTAGTCAAAATTAATAAAATAATTGTTTAAATTCGCAATGGACAACCCAATCTATAAGTGATATCGTTCTAGTATTTTCTTCGGTTATTAAGCTACTACTTGAAATTAAAACTTGATCATGGAATTAAAATTAATTTTACCCTTTTATTCTCGGTTTTTTTATTGTCTGTATAACATTTCCGGATTCAGTGTGAAATGTAACATGTAAAAGTGAATTATAAATATTTTATATTTTGTAGACAGAGATAGACAGTGGTTAGCACAAACGTCGACATGTAACAACTTATTCGACCGTGACCCCTAAAATTCTAAAATATAAATTAACTTCGAGATTAAATCGTAAAAGTACTAGGTATTAATAAATATAATTCTACATTCTTTCCCTCCATACCACCTTGGGTATTTCAAGTGTATTAAGAATACGCCTTCTGGCTAACTCACACGAATATTAAAATAGCGTCCCAGAGATATAAGAAAGCCGGTAGCTGACCGTATGCCTCAGTGATATAATGATAATCACCGCCGCTTTGAACAAGAGCTGTGCCTGAAAATTTTTAAATTTAGATAATTTCGATAGATATATGATAAGGGTATATATGGGGATATTGTGATACTGTTTCTTATAAATACTTTAGAGAATGGAAAACATAGTAATCATTAATAAAAAATTGTACTGAACGCCAGTACTTAGTGACATTTACTTAGAAACAGAACGCCCACTTCTCGAAACTTCATAACCACAGCTCACGTAAAATCAGGAAATCTAAATGTGATCCTGTGGCTAAAAAATGGTTATATACGTTGTAAAACTCAATGTGATAATTTCACACTTCATAATATACTGTCTACTAAAATAGATCTACTATCTACCAGTGTAGATTATTGAGGGGACAGTATTACCTACATAGAGTTTTACACATATAGATTGTGATGTTTCAAGGATGTGTATAGCTACAGATTGGCCTCCACGACGACCTAGACCTAGAGTCCATCAGTAAATATCTACAGTCGGCATCAGTGCGTCATTTCGAGAAACCGGCACGATACGAGAACCCTCTCATAGTGGCCGCCTGTAACTTCATTCTCGATCTTGCGGACCAAAATGGAAAGCAGTCGACGTCGCTCAAAACACGTCATTTCGTATTCTCCCGATCCACTAACGGTGCTTTTAGGTACCTTAAGCACCGGTCATCGTTCTTGTCGAACCCGTCGCTTGCGACGAAGGGCTCGCCGAGTAAATTAACCCACAGACATAGCCCACTGAGTATCTCGCGTGGGTCGGTTTCTGATCCGGTCGTAGATTCATTCTGCGAAGTACGGCTCTTGCTAGGGTTCGTGTTAGCAACGTCATCAGGTTTGAGCCGAATTCGGCGAATGTAGAATAACCCATCGACGTTACTAGAATAGGTAGGAAAAAAAAACAAAAAAAAACTACAGATCCTACAGAAAAAAAGGAATGAATTTCCCATGTTATTTAGGTAGTTTTGCGAGTGTGATAAATATTGTTATCAATTTTACCAAACAGCATTTATCTGAAAAAAATCTAATGAAGAACAATAGGTTTCGATGGGTTCCGTGCTTTTCAACCTATCTTCAAATTACATCTAGCTATACCTACGCATAAGCGCCAAATGTTGATGACAGTGATTTTTTTCGTGTTCGGAACCTAAAGAAGTCTTATGTGTAAAAAACAAAAAGAAAATATCTCTATGTACTATAGTTGAACTATAGTTTGAGTGAATGAACACATAATAATACTGACCTAACTCAGCATAACACAAAGCACCGAAAGTGGATAACACTCCACAAGCAACCCATACGGTCAACGACCCCCATATAGACCCTGTCATTTCCAAAACTGCTTTAGGCGAAATAAAAACACCGCTTCCGAATATAATTCCAAGTATAAGCGCCACCCCTTCTAGTAGACCAAGTTGCTTACGCATTCTTAATTTTTCATTAACCATATTTTCAGTTTATTTATTTAAAATTTATTAACAAGTACAAAAAATCGTTTTAAATTGATGCTTTTGACAAGGTGTCAAACTCAACGCTAATAGATCACATATAAGGTAGCGTTTTCCGCCCTCAATACAAGACTCAGGTATGCAAAGACTAAATTAAATTTTCTAACTTATGTGTACCTATCTTTTACGGGTTTGGTAGTGTACTTTCTAATGATCTCTCTAAATTACTTTATTCTATACTTCCTATAAAATTGCCGGAGAAGTTTATAGTATCCCATTTTATTAAGTTTCTATAAAACTTGCTAGTGTAAACTTCATGCTATACTAATATCAGTTAGTTCGATCGACGCCACATTTATTTAGTTCGCGTTTTTTTTTATTTTTTATTCCTACCTATGCTGATAGCCTTGAGAGGCTATTTCAGCTTCGCCCTAACGTTTGTAGGTGAGCTCGCGGGGCTCAACCAGAGAGTTGCTAACACTGACCCTAGCAAAAGCAGTGCTTCGCAGAATCTACCACCGGATCGGAAACGCGACCCACTGAGAAGATCCGGCGAGAAACTCAGTGGGCTGTGTCTATGGGTTAGTTCGCTCGTCGAGCCCTTCGTCGCAAGCGACGGGTTCGACGAGGACGGTGACCGGTGCTTGTGGTGCCTAAAAGCACCGTTAATGGATCAGGAGGATCCGTAATNGGGCTGTGTCTATGGGTTAGTTCGCTCGTCGAGCCCTTCGTCGCAAGCGACGGGTTCGACGAGGACGGTGACCGGTGCTTGTGGTGCCTAAAAGCACCGTTAATGGATCAGGAGGATCCGTAATGACGTGCTTTGGGCGACGTCGACGGTTTACCATTCGGTCTACTGGGTCGGGTATGTAGTTTCCAGCGGCTACGATGAGAGGGTTTAAGTTCGCTAGAATCTTTCTAACCCATTTTATATCTCTTGTTTGTTACTATGACGGCAATGTGTAATCTGTGTGCCGTGCGTACACTCGTGAACACACTTCACGTTACTCTGGCAACATTTACGGCCTGGCCACGGGGATCGGCGGTGCGAACAGCGAAGCGGTGGGCGAGGCGACCATTCGCGCAGCACCGTTTGCAGGCCACGGGTACTCACGTTCGCCGCCGCGACTAGTAAGGAAGTCCGACAGCGAAATGTCTATATCGAAATTATCTCGATATTGCTTACAAATTAATAGTTTTTTGGTTCAGGACCTATTATTTGGAAAAGATTGTGAAGTACATGATTTGAATAAGAATCGGAGTATACCTATAGATGGAGAATTCCACAAGAAGTACGAGAAATACTTTGGGTGGCTAGACTTCCAAATAGCTGGTCTAGCTAGTATTTCAGCTATTTTATTTTTTTATTGCTTAGATGGGTGGACGAGCTCACAGCCCACCTTGTGTTAAGTGGTTACTGGAGCCCATAGACATCCACAACGTAAATGCGCCACCCACCTTGAGATATAAGTTCTAAGGTCTCAAGTATAGTTATAATGGCTGCCTCACCCTTCAAACCGAAACGCATTACTACTTCACGGCAGAAATAGGCAGGGTGGTAGTACCCACCCGTGTAGACTCACAAGAGGTCCTACCACCAGTAATTACGCAAATTATTATTTTGAAGATTTCATTTTTATCACACGATGTTATTCCTTCACCGTGGAAATCAATCGTGAACGTTGAGTGTTGTTGAGTACGTATTTCATTACAAAAATTGGTACCCGCCTGATATTCGAACACCGGTGCATCGCTCAACACGATTGCACCGGACGTCCGTTAGGCCACGACGACTTTAAAAATATAAAATAAAAAATAAATAAAAAATATAAAAATTTCGGCGTTAATTTTTCGCGGCGAAAACAACTAAACTCATTTAATCACTGTACTATTCGCCGCGACTACCGCTCGACTCCGTGGCTCGCGCCGTCCGTATTCATGCATTTGTTTTGCTCGCCCGCCGCATCGCGCGATTCGCTCGGTACATTTCGCCGGTCGCTTCGCCGGTCGCCGGTGCGCGTGGCTTGTTAGGTACATTTCTATGCGCTTGTTTTAGTCGCTAGACGCTTCGCCGTTCGCACCGCGCGAATATTCGCATCGGCGAATGTCCCGTGGCCAGGCTGTTAGGACCAAGAACTAAAAACGACTTTTTGGCGGGAACGCGAGGAGTGAAGTTGTGTGATTTGTTTTATTTTGTCTATTTAGTGTTTCTTCGGGTTTAAATGTGTAATAATGGTGGTTTATTAACTGTTTAATATCTGTGAAAGTGCACAAATGTGGAAAAATGAAACAAAGCCGCTGGACGTAACTTCTCGGGATCCTCCAAAAAGTCCACTGAAAAAATCTTAGTAAATGACCACCATTTTACTGAGATTTTTTATTTTATTTTTTTTATTGCTTAGATAGGTGAACGAGCTCACAGCCCACCTGGTGTAAAGTGGTTACTGGAGCCCATAGACATCCACAACGTAAATGCGCCACCCACCTTGAGATACAAGTTCTAAGGTCTCAAGCATAGTTACAACGGCTGCCCCACCCTTCAAACCGAAACGCATTACTGCTTCACGGCAGAAATAGGCAGGGTGGTGGTACCCACCCGCGGGGACTCACAAGAGGTCCTACCACCAGTAATAGTAATCATCCCATATCATCTCTTTTCATTTCATTTAATTTCATCCCAGTTGATTAATGTCTCAAATTAATCGTCTTCATTTTATTCCACTCCATAATATCATTTTTTATAAAAATATGAATCTAAATTAAAATAAGATACGACTTAAAGGTCTCCGTTACCAGGTCATAAAATCCCTTTAAAAAAAAAAGAACTAAAAATATGGTAATAAATGTTGTTTGAAACATTTAACATACTTGACATCTCACATCCCCAATACACCATCGATACACTGACGCATTTTCGAAATGAACACAAAACATGTCAATATCATATCAATATCTATCAATCATATTCCAAAATAGTAAAGTTTGTATCTCAGGCATGTGCCCTGGCAGCAGTCAGTGCCATAAATTCTGCTGGCTGGAAACGTACATTAAGTCATTTATAAATAAAAAAACATTATATTTCCACACTTAGTTTATTGAATATTAATTAAGTAAAACACGACATTCATTACATAATAATTTATAATGTTAAGATTAAATGTTATTTGGCACAAAAATTATCAGTTATCATAGAATTAGACATAAATAATTCAGAGATTATCATAGAAGACTTGAAAAACATTTTTAATATCATAAATCTACAGTTTACTATAACACGTCTACTAATGCGTCTAATGCACAATTTTAGTGTACTCAGATCGCACTATACGAGTTAGGATTATTTATCCAAATTCATATCTTTCATGTAATAATACACAAAATAGTTTCGCCGTTTGTATATATTTGGCTACTTTTGAAATTTTATTTCCCCTACATTATATAATTCAAGTGATATTAAAAAAATATCGATAAACAGCAATAGGAGCCACTGGGTACAAAAAATCATCGTCAGTGATATTAACAATGTTGACAGGGTGCCGAGCCTGAGTAACCTTAATTTTTTTTGTATCTATTCTAGTAACCTCGAGGGGTTATTCTAGATTCACCGAATTAGTAGGCGAGCTCACGGGGCTCAAACCGGGAGTGTTGCTAATACTGGCCCTAGCAAGAGCAGTGCTTCGCAGAATCTACCACCGGATCGCAAACGCGATCCACTGAGAAGATCCGGCACCTGAGTAGCCGAGACACGCATGAAGTGCACGAGACCCAATAACTCCTATCACACCGGCTGCAAAAGTTGGCCACAACGTTGCTACAAACGTTGAGCGGTTAAATTGCTGAAGTGTCCACACCTTGGCTGTTATACTAGTTCCTTTCCGTCAGAGCTAACGTAAAGATGTGCGATACCGAAATTGAATTTGCTCTAAGCGCTTTTACAGTACTGAGTGCGTATAATTTATATTTGTTATTGAAAAAAAAGAAAAAGCCGCGTCAAAGGAGATGATGCGGGTGGCGAGTTTGTTGATGAAGACATCGCGACATGCACACTTGACGCGTATTGCAACAGGACTGAGCAAAGCCCCAACATGTGGACAGATCGCGAACACCCACACTCGACGGCCAACTACCAACATTTGCTCCAACGCTATTTTCTAGATGCACACGTTGGGCGAGTGGCGTTGGAGCCTATGTTGGGGCCAACGTGTGGAGCCCGCGTCAACGTATCTGCGTCCCGAGTCGCTCGCTACACACCATGAGACAACAGCAGCGTTAATTTCATATTAAAAATAATAATTGCTAAAAACATTATTTTGGAAGACAGTAGTAAAAGTACAAATGGATTACTTCACGCCGAGATAGTCGGCAAGTACATAAATTAAAATTATATAAAAAAATACACTTATAACAAAGTCAAATTTGCAATTGAATATTCTCTATCGAAGATCCTTTAAGTACATCATATGTAAGTATATGGCCATCGGTATATTAATCGTCTACGATATTTCAGTAAGTGAAAGATAACTATAAAGTCAACATTTTACGAACAACCTTAACTTCATTACATCCCTTTTCGATCCTTACAAAATAGATTAAGAGAAGAGAATATACAAAATATATATTCAAAAAATAAATTCGTTTCCCTGATACAATATTTAGACAAGATCTAACAAAAACTATGCCCGGACCGCCGACTATTCACGACTATTGATTCAACTCAGGGCCACGTATGACAGACCGGTGAAAAGCTAAAATTAATAAAAATTCATATTTTCGTAATAATTGTTTTTTTCTTTTTATGCTTTTAATTGCAGTCTCTAATAATAATAGATCGAGAGATCAGGAATAACAGAAACTATTACATCTGGTTACCGGGGTAGTTAATAAAAAAGGAAGCACGCATTAGTACGCGGGCATAGGATAGCGAGATCTTCCCACTATGCACAGACATAACAGGTCTTTTGACTGCTATCAGATACATTAATTATGAGCTTAAACGAGTCGAATATATTACATTTTGTTTCAGAGCTGTTCTGGACATCGTTTTTGTTACATACCGTATGTATTAATTTATTTATGTAAACATTATTTTTGTTTAAAAAATGATACGTTTTCAATTCGAATTATATATAATAACCATATCAAAAATTCCATCCAATAACCATATTAAAAATAAATACGCTTACATTTTCGACTTTGTCATACCGATCTATAAACCTGTAACCACAGGAAGGATATAGAGTTTGACTAACAATCGAAAGGACTCATGAAGGTTTACATGAACTTTAATAATATTAGACTTTAGAAAAAATTAAAGCAAATTGAAACGTATCGAATCTCGAGCCCGCAGATTGAGAAACCGCTGGTCCAATAGTTCATTTCAAATGTAATAGTTATTTATGTAAACCACACATTGTTTGGTAAATTCAATATTAAAACCGAGATTTTCTCGTAAGATTATATCAAAATACAACTTTATTAATAAATAATACATATTTTAGAAATATATATTATATATATACTTAAATAAGTCTTCAAGACAGTAATAAATACATATGTATATATTATTTATAAAAATTAAGTACATGTTTATATTTTTAAGTTACACGTAGGCAAGTTTTCTTCCGAATTAAGCCTTATACATTTTGAGATTAAATAAGCTCACACTTAGAAGATACATATATAAAAACGTTCCAAATCTGTTGAACAAAAATACTAATAACATAGATCAAATATTAAAAAAGGAATCAATCAAATTAAAAACTTAACCAGCAACAAGATAAACAAATTGTTTTAATAAAAACAACGAACTAGGTAAAGATAAAAACATTATGTATAAATACTCACACAACCTTAACACACACAGTTTGGCAAACTAAGACTTATTTTTTAATGTTGGCAACGTTTTACTGACTGACAACACCAGATTCTTGATATTTAAAAAAGAATTATAATGATTCTTCTGTGGGGGATTTAGTGGGACAATATGCGCCAATACTAATGGTTTAGATTAGATTTGAGTCGACTATTATCAAAGCCGGCAATGTGACTTTTGGACAATTATTGGTAAATCAGAAAAACGAATTATTGACTTTGTATTCCATTGGCAGTCACAAAACTCTTCTGAACGACATCTTAGATAGATAACATGTTAAGTATTAACCTTTATTTAATGCAGGTTTTGAACCGTATTCTTTGAAGGAGACGATTATATTCAAATCAATCTGTATTGACATATCAATAACATTTTTTTGTCCAAATGCACAGATTGCCACCTTTGATAATAGACGACTCATTTATAATATTAAATATAGCGGTTGCATTATGAAGGCGAATTTGATTTTAATATTCTTTTTTTAAGTTTTAATAAATGTATGTATTCTAAAATGCGCGATGTCCAGGAACATAGGCGTAATTCGTTCTTAAAATCCGATCTCTGCTCTGTTAAAATACGTAGTCTGAATATATTTCAATACTATTTTCATTGATCAATTCAATCAGTGTATGTAATTATATTTTGCTTTTCATTAAACAAAATACACTAATCTGTAAACATATATTGTGTAACGTCATTTATGTCTTAAAAGCTTAAAAGGCTCAAAAGGCTGGATAGAATTAGATGGTTTCGCCGTTATTTCTAAGATTATTTGCCAAACCGTGTGCAGTACCTATGAACATTTTTAAAGCACTTGCAATTCGAACACGGGATCTTATGTACCTTACTCAGTTCAAAGTGTGAAGGACGAACGTACCTTACAAATTCTTAATTAACTCTTACCCTTTTGTTAATTTATCACACGCGTCTTCATTGAAATGAGTTATTATAAACTTACATTTTAAAATGTGACATTACAATTTTCGTATAATATATTATTATTATGGCACTTCGTTTCGCCGGTCATTCGTTTTTAATTCACAAATTAGAACAACGCTTTATAACTGTAAGATTCAAGTGAGATCTCAAATTGCTCAAAAAAAAAAAAAAAATTTAATGACGTTTTGACACACAAAAAAAAACGTACTTTATTCATCTTGTGACTTCACAACGACCGAGCACCGACTTACTTTGTTTATAATACTTGTGCGTATTACGGGACTACAAAAGGTATCGCCATTATACACCTCTGTTGCGGTTCGCATTGTAAAGAGTGCGAACCAGAGGGACAATATTACATTAGTTCTTCTACCTAGGTGTAATAAAATTTAATTCAAGCATTTACCGAAATGCGTTCTTGAATACACTACACTAAAAGGGTTGCCAACTTACTTATATTATTATGTTTATGGTATAAAATCCATCATTTCAGGTCCCCTAATGAAGTATTTTCATTAGCGAAACAAACAAATGTATCACTAAATAAAATGTATGGCCGATCCTTATTTTCACTTTTATTGAATCTACTTTTTTAGAGATTATTATAAAAAAAACTTTTAAATTCTTTTCTCATAACAAATTCCTTGTACAAATACAAATAAAAAAGAAGCCCTATTAGCACGTAAAGTTCGAATTAGTCAACCATAATTTACATTTCGGTAAATACTAACTACTAAATAGTTTAAAGTAAGCCGAGAATTTTGTTTTTCTAATCAACGTTGGCAACCCCACGCAACAGATCGAAACAAAAGCAAAATGCGTTGAATATATACCGCAAAGGAACATAAAAGCTTCTGTAAGCCGTATTTATAGGAGGGACCTTGCATTTATTTAAAAAGATATTTTTTTACATTAAGCGGTGTTCGCGTGACGTGATCCGCTTTTATTTAGCTACCGGGCACAAACACAAGCACTAATTTAGGATAGGCGCGATTCAAGCATTTTGTCGCAAGTCAGTCTGTGCGCTATTGCCTACCTATATGCTCCGATATCTTCCTATAACATTCGTTACACCGTTCAAAAAATAAAACGTAATAACTCCAAAAAGTATTTAATGCGATGTTCACTCAAGACGCCCAATGTGATGTTAAACAAACTTTATCTCTTATACTGGGTCTTGTTTAGTGTATTTAAAACCCTAATTGTGTTTTGACTTTAGTACATTCTTAGTGTGACTCTGAAATCCGATTGAATTGTAACGCCAATTGCAATCAAAGTACAATGGAGGGAGCACGAGTAGAAAAAATAATTAACGTTATATATTTTAATCTTTTTTTTGGGTCGATCAAATAAAAAAAATATTACGTTTGCAAACCGTATCACCATTAACTAGTACCTTTCGTCAGTCCTAAAGGTACAATATTACGTTAGTAAGAAATAGTATACATATTTGCAAATTTTCTCATTATGAACGTGTAACCTGTGCTTCTTTATTTGAGTATATTATTGATATTGTAAACTAATTTTATCTTTGAGTTTGTTGAAACCGTGCGGCAAGTCTCGTATATTTAAGACCATATTAAAGGGTTTTTTAAACTTTACTTTCGAGATATCATTTGATTACTGTATTATAACACGAATTAACAACAACGCACACAGACAATCTATAATATATAATAAATAATACAATAAAACTAGAACGAAAACGACTTATGAGAACTTTCTCGTGTCATTTATCACTTACCACTATGAAATTATTATTTATATTTGGTGAAAACAGTTACATTCTAATAGAGAGGGGCAACAACTTTGTTTCTGTCTCTTTCCCTCTGACAGAATTCGTGTATTTCTTTAAAACAAGTCGCTTCCGTCCTTATTTCAAGCTTATAAGTTTACAGAAAAGCTTAGTATACTGGCCTAATCGCCGACACAAAAGCACAATGATGAAACTAAGCGCTAAATAAAATGCACACCAAGTGATTATATTCTAAACAAAGAGATTCAAAATTTCGTTCAGATCAGAATCGAAACGTATTTCTATTGTGTGTCTCATACGGTTCATTCTTCCTTGTCTTCGACGACGCACAGGAATATCTTCTGGCAAAAATACGTGAATCTGACTGTAAAAAATAAATAAATAATTATTATTTCCGTACCGAACCTTGAATTTCGTAATTTGATTATGAATTGACAATAGTAGAATTGTTTAAGCAGAATTGACACTTATGCTGTTTACGTTGTCAATACGCTGCTGACAGGCTGCCAACAGTATTGTGGTTAATTATTTACTGTTCTTTAAATTTTACATCAAAGATATTATTGAGTTTTTTTTTCGTTTTAATTAAAAACTCATAGCACAGAAAAATATCGTGGCTTTCCTTATCTTAAATACCATCATCACATCACTAGAAAATTAAAACATCGTCTGACCGGTGGCAGCCAAAAAGCATAAGTTCTCATTAAAGATTCTTACTAATTTGTACCTTAGAGCGCGGACCGTCGACGGATTGACTCCCTATTAATGCGTATAAAGTGTAGAGCGTCAGAATACCGACTTGCGCAGTTTGATTATTAGATATTAGGTATCGACCTGTACTGAAAAAAGCTGAAGGACAAAAGGAAATACAATGTTGCTGACGAGGATGTCGAAGACAGAACGAAGTGGAGGAGTAAAGTGAGGAAAGCTGACCCAATCACCATGTAGGATAAATAGCTGGGAAGAGAAAGAGAGAGAGAGAGAGTATCGACCGATTTTTGTATTTTTTTAAGTTAAAGTTTTTTATAAGTCACTTTTTTTATCAAAAATCCTTTAGCAGCAATTTCTATAAAATATGTGAAAATAAGCTTTAGCACTAAAAGGGGTTTAATGAGTTTTTCTTGCTGAGCACACACACCTATACGGCAATAACGTCTGGTGTAGTGGTGACATAGTCACTACCCAAGGGGGTCGCGGGTTCGAATCCCGCCAAGGGTAAATATTTGTATGATAAATATAAAATGTATTTTCCAGGGTTATGGATGTACTTTATATATATGTATGTGTATAATAAAAATCTTACATTTATTTCCGTTATCTGGTACATGTAACACAAGTTCTTTACGCACTTAACACGGGATCAGTTAACGTGGCGTGATTGTTAGTAAATATTTATTTATATCTATTTAGTAGCTGTACCCGTCCGCTTCGCTGGGCATTTAAAATTAACATTATTATTTCTCACCCTCACAAACATTCTTATCATTAACGCCCCCGCAACTGGAGTAGGGAGTCCAACACTCATATAAATACTAGCCTATCCATTAAGTATATGTATTTTCTAATTGGATACCAAGTTTCAAGTCAATCGGATGCATGGTTCAGTAGTTATAACGGAACATCCGTTAAAACCAATGTATATTTATATATTAGTATAGATCACTTAAATTACGGAAAATTAGTTTCATTTAAAGACAACAACGATGAAGAAGAAGTCGAACGCCGAATCAATATAACTTGGAAAAAATTCTGGAGCTTAAAGGAAATTCTAAAAGGGTCCTTCCCTCTTCACCTGAAAAAGACTGTGATGGATACCTGTATTCTTCCGACTCTCTTATATGGGTGCCAAACATGGACTTACAATACAAAAATAAAAACAAAATTAGCGACCTGTTAGAAAGCGATGGAAAGAAGTATATTGAATATAAGAAGAATACAAAGGATAAGAAGCGAATACATTAGAGAAAAAACAAAGCTGATAGATGCTCTCAGGTACGCTCAGACACAAAAGTGGCGCTGAGCAGGACATCTTGCGAGATATACGGATAAAAGATGGACATTAGAAATTACAACATGGGAAGGACCAGCGGGCAAAAGAAGAAGAGGACGACCAAGGAGCAGATGGATCGACGAAATAATAGTGAAGCAAGCTGGAGCAGGCCTCTACCCGAATGGGGTTCCAAACACAAGTTTATATTTAATTTTGTAATTTTTATTTGATAAGGTGTTTTTCTTTTTTTTCTTTCTTTGTTTTTGGAAATAAAATGGGCTTATTATTATTATTATTATAGATCACTTACCAGACAATCTCTTGATTGGACTTGGCGTTGTTCGGACCAGGCACAAGTACACCGGTACTCCGGCCAGGGTCATACCGGCACCGGCCAGCACGGCGAATGGCTCGCTGATCACAGGCACCACGAGCAGCATGGTACTGATCACCACAAACAACACCGGTATCCAAAGTTGAACCTGATAACATTTATTAATATTTCACCCAACACATCCAAAAGGTCGATACTGTACGCAACATAGAGAGACAAGGCCAGAGATTCGTCAGCATGCATGAAGCTCTACAACATATACTACTACTAGTGATAGTAATACTACAATGAATCTAACTATACAACTGTCTACTATATTTACTATATCGACTCCACATTTACATTACAAGTAACATATTATACTGTAATGCACTTTCTACCAAAAAAATGTACAGTGGAAATTTCTATTATTTTTGTTGATTTAAGGGCATAATAAATGTCGACGCGGCATCGAACCGCTACTGGTGACCATGGACATCGCAGCGTAATTGCCGACGTTCGCTTTGAGACAAGAGATCGTAGTCTCGATTGCGGCGAAGTCACCGCCACGATATAATTCCGGAAGTAATAATTCAATTCTACAACGTCTTATAACGCTAAATTACACAGACAAAAATTACACATAAATCAAGACACAACGTCGTTATTATAATACAAACACAATGTAGATAACCTTGGACTTGCGGCCAATACCCATCGGGGCCGTATCGTCTTCTGCCTTTGTTGGCATTAAAGAGAAAATGAAAATGTAAGTAATAAATGCGGTAATTTTTAAATTGACGTTAGTCTTAGCTTAGAGCGTTTTCGCGCAGATCTGTAGACTTGCCCTAATTCTTTCTACATGACGAAAAAACGAAACTCACAAAGACCACAAGGTTACGCTAGCCGCTAGAATCCTTGACACAAAAAGGTCGAAATTTTAAATTGCGTTGGAATAACGTATATTCCAGAATACACTAGACTACAACTATAATGGTTGCTTCACGGCAGAAATGTTTGAGGCGATGGTAAACAAGCCGGTCTACACATTAGTTATTAAATTTGAATTAACTACACAACAGTGTGTTTAGTGCGAGTTTTTTTAACGTTCTCGATAGCGTAAAAGTTAGCTCATATTTGTATGGAATGGGATCGTTTGCCTACGTTTGCCGCTAGGGGCGCTGTTCCAACTGCATACAAAATTATAGTTAACGTTTACGCTATCGAGAACGTTAAAAAACTGGCACTAAGCACACAGTACTGGTTTAATGGAATCGCTCACGAATACAAAAACAGCTGAAATACATATTTAATTTTACGCTATGAAGATGTAGCACAAAATGGAACAATTATGCTCAAGTACTTTAGTTGTGTGTAATGCAAATCCAAAGTTGGCATGAAAAGTCGACTTTAAGTGACGTCACTACTTAGTGAGACGGTCGAGCATCAATATTTACTCTGACACCGAAAAAAATGCAAATTCTGTATTCACATTCAACAACTTTTTTTTTTTTTTGGAAACAATTACTTGGACTCTAAGTGATATCTATGCATATTGGCTATGTTTATGATAATACCTAGAAAAACATAATTTCATTGTGGGTAAATTCCATTCATAAAAACCCTACAATCTAAAATTTGCATGAACACAGCACCTAATTATCTTTAAATAGTATAAAACAAAGTAATTCTGTTTTTCCGCTAACTTCGTCTAAATCACAAAATCGATTTTGATACGACTTTCACTAATAGAAATATCGATAAACGAGAAAGGTTTGTGCATTTTATTTGTATTTTTTTGGACTAAATTCTTAGATCTATGTTCGTATTATATTTAAAAAAAAACGATTTTCGTACGCCTACACGGACAAGACAGACCAAATTTTAAAATTGTTGTTCACGCAGGCGAAGCTGCGGGTGTAAAGCCAGTATACGATAGTACAAAGTAAGACCCTCAATCGATATTATACTACTTTACTTAATAAACTGGGTAAGTCAAAGACTGTAGAAGCTTGTGTATCTTATCTAAAACTATTAACATCAATAAGAAGTCTTATGAAGTAACGTCACTTTTCAATTATTAACATTTGAAAGTACGTTCCAATTTCCTGGAAGCTGTTTGAGTATTTTTATCGTTTCAGTTTATTGAGCGCTTCCCTCACACCATGTCGACATTATATATTTGTATAAACTAGTGGTCCCTCTGTAGTCGAACTTCGACTATAAATTTAAATTTTATGTTTAGACATCATTATGGTTCTATTGTCAAAGACTATTATTATGCTTCTATAATAATAGATTTCGCCAAGACTCCATTAAAGACAAATAATATTAAAGACAAACAATATTAATCTATTCTCAATTTGATCACAGACTTTCAACAATAACAGAAGTTTGACAATAAACACAGTATATGTGTGTGTATGTGTTGTGTCAAATACATGGTAGTGTGTGTAATGTTTTCTTTATTGATTTATTGCATTTTTTATGCATAAGTAAAAAAATAATAACATTCTGCACTTCTTCTTTATATTCTGTATAAGTGTGTGTAATTTCAAACTCCTCCGTCCACGCAATTTTTGTAAAAAGGGATACAACGTTTTTCCTTCACGTATTAATATATAGATGTATAAATTACTTTACTGCATCAGTACTTCCTGTTATGTGCAATGAAGAGAAAAAAATACAATATTTTTAGTAAATTATCGACGTGTTTGAACAGTTTAGCTTTGGTATCGGGCCTTACGGTTACGACAACATTTCGCGAGTTGAACTGACCCAATTATTCGCTAAAACATGATTAAAAATAACATTACGAAGCACAGTAGTTCTAAAAAAAACCGTTATTAATATTGAGCAAAAATAGCTGAGCCGTTGAATCATAAGATACGCCTACCTGTATAGGTCTATGTAATTCTGGTCTCTTGTATCTCAGCCAAAGTACAGCGCTGCAGCTCAACGTGGTGAAGAAAGACTCGACGACCGTGCAGTACGTTATCAAAGATGTCAGATTATTCGGAATCAACATTAATAACGACATCAGCATCTTAAAAAAAAACACCTCATTAACAACCATCATGGTCGGTGCACGGTTATTTTAAAGTTTTAGGGATGTGTTGGTAGACGAGGGCCAGATGCGAATAAAGAGTGGTAGGTTCGTGGACATCACAGTGTTGTCTTTGCAACAAACACAAGGTCCTCTGGGTAGGAACCATCACCTCGCCTATAACCACCACGAATTATTCATTGGTTTCGGTTTGATAGATGCGACAGCAACTGGCCTTATTAACATTGCGATATCTATAAGCTTCTGTCAGAGGTAATGGTGCCCTACTCATGCACTGAATAGTAAAAATAATTTGTAGTAAGAAATAAAAGAAAATTGACAAGTTTCCACTTAATGTACAATGTATCTTAGCGCCAATATCTTGTAATCACCATTTCCTTATTAAACAGTACAGTCAGAAAGGTTCAAAAAACCATGAACGAAATCAGGGTAATTGAAAAGTAGTTTTTTTATTATTATTACATAAATGGGTGGACGAGCTCACCTTAAATGCCGCCCTCCACCTTTAGATATGAGTTCTAAGGTCTTAGTATAGTTACAACGGCTGCCCCACCCTTCGAACCAAAACGCATTACTGCCTCACGGCAAAAATAGTTAGGGTGGTGGTACCTACCCGTGCAGACTCAAAAGACGTCCTACCACTAATAAAGAAGTAAACTAATTGTAAAGCATTGACAATATGAAAATACTTACATTACTCACTGTATGAACATTAAACTTCTTCTTGCTCGTTTGCCAGTTTCAACTAATGATAAACCTTATAAAAATACAAAGCGCTCACCAAGAACACGAGCGAAGGCATCGGCGACATGCACTTTACGTTGATGTGGGCGAGAAGTTCCGGCATGTGTCCGTTCCTGGCTCCAGCGAAGCACATGCGCGATGATGTCATTATGTGCACAGAGAGCCCGCCGAGGATCGCGACGGCTACTAGCGTCGGCATGGCCCACTTAAACCAACCCAGGGCGTGATCCGCGAAATCCTAAGTCAGGGAACGGTGATCATCCTTAATACAATGTATATGTACTACACAGAATATGCCCCGTCGTTTGCGACGAAGGGCTCGACAAGTAAATTAACCCACAGACACAGCCCACTGAGTTTCTCGCCGGATCTTCAGAGTGGGTCGCGTTTTCGATCCGGAGGTAGATTCTGCGAAGCACTGCTCTTGCTAGGGCCAGTGTTAGCAACGCTCCGGTTTGAGCCCCGGGAGCTCACCTACACGTCAAGAAGAAGCTGAAGGATATCAGCACAGTCAGGAAAAAAAGGGTTGTCAATTCATTATTTTCAATTCGACGTCGTCTTCTGAGCGATCAATTTCTTTTTTTTCTGAAGGAAAGATTACTGTTCGCCCTGAGGCCTTTCCGGTTTCACCAGGACAGGTGGGCGAGCAAAGACTCAGCCAGGAGGGGCGAAGTTTACTAGCAGCTGTCCGAACGCCTCCAAAGGAAAGCTAACAACTCATGACTAGCTGCTTCGCGAATGAATTCACTACCGGATCTGAATCGCGACCCGCTAAGATTCGGCAAGAGACCCAATTTAATATATATGTATATATATACCTAGTCAGGTCATAAGTATTGTCACACAGTAAAAACTTTTCTTTTAGAATGCTGGCCACAAAAAAGTTTATTGAATTCGAATTTCGAATTGTTCATGAAAATAAAAATAGTATACATTTAGAATTTTACTCATTTTTAAATATGGAGTGGACGCTTAAAGAAGACCGTGTTGCAGTTATTGCGTTGCATCGTTGCGGTTACGCGCCAATTCAAATTTTTAACATACTGAAAAATTTGAATATAACCAAAAGATTCGTTTATCGTACCATCAAACGATACAATGAAGACTCTAGTGTAGATGACAGGTCAAGAAGTGGTCGCCCTCGGTCTGTTAGGACTCCAGCAGTGATAAAAGCTGTGAAGGCGCGAATTCAAAGAAATCCCAAACGTAAGCAGAAACTGTTGGCCCTTCAGATGGGGTTAAGCAGAACCACGGTGAAAAGGGTGTTAAATGAAGACTTAGGGCTTCGGGCATATCGAAGAAAAACAGGACATCGTTTGAATGCTCGTCTAATGGACCTGAGACTGAAGAGATGCCGCGCTTTGTTGAAGCGGTACGCGGGAAAAAAATATCGGGAAATTCTTTTTTCGGATGAAAAAATTTTTACCGTAGAAGAGAGCTACAACAAACAAAATGATAAGGTGTACGCACACAGTAGTGAAGAAGCGAGCAACCGTATTCCGCGTGTCCAACGAGGTCATTTTCCATCCTCGCTCATGGTATGGTTGGGAGTTTCTTATTGGGGCTTAACAGAGGTACATTTTTGTGAGAAAGGTGTAAAAACGAATGCAGTTGTGTATCAAAATACAGTCCTGACGAACCTTGTGGAACCTGTTTCTCATACCATGTTCAATAACAGGCACTGGGTATTCCAACAAGATTCGGCGCCAGCTCATAGAGCGAAGAGCACACAAGACTGGCTGGCGGCGCGTGAAATCGACTTCATCCGGCACGAAGACTGGCCCTCCTCCAGTCCAGATTTGAATCCGTTAGATTACAAGATATGGCAACACTTGGAGGAAAAGGCGTGCTCAAAGCCTCATCCCAATTTGGAGTCACTCAAGACATCCTTGATTAAGGCAGCCGCCGATATTGACATGGACCTCGTTCGTGCTGCGATAGACGACTGGCCGCGCAGATTGAAGGCCTGTATTCAAAATCACGGAGGTCATTTTGAATAAACTTTAGTGTCATAAGAATATATGTTTTGTTAAGTTCATTTTGGTATATGAATGGTTACATAATGAATAAACTTGTTTCAATTATTTTACATTAAACATGTGACAGAATTTATGACCTGACTATGTATATATATAAATATATAAATTTCTCCACTGGAATATACCAACGACTATCCTAACGTTGTCGGCACTTTTTAGAATATCCTATGGTTATAAGATATCGATACGAGTTTCATTTGACAGGACAGTTCTTATGTATAAGTTTAAAGAATATTAATTACAATTAGCATCCCAATACATTATTGAAAACTGATTGTGAATAATCTTCTGACTTGCAGAAGGTAAATAGTAGGCAAAAACATAGACAGCTAGAATTAGTTAAATAATAACTCTTTTTGTGGAACTCTAAGTGCATTTTAACAGATCGCATGAACTTGCACTAGGTTCCTCTCATACTTCATCACAGGAGAAAAAAAAAACTATCTACGAACATTTATGCAGCGAAGCATATTCTATAAGCAATGATTACTTTAAACATATATGAAGCAAGGGTGTAACATAGTATTTATTTCACTTCTTTAAAAACTTGCTGTAAACAATAACATTAATCAGACGTTTTTTTTTTTTAATTATCAATATTATTATATAAAACAAACTAATTGCCTTCTAATAGTCTAAGAGAATTAAATTAACTCGTGGTAACTTAATTGTACACGCAAACATACGTACCACAGCAATGGCCTCCGTTGATGTCACCCCGACTGGTCCCAGTACAGCGAGATATGACATATTAGCAAGCAGGTATATAACAGTGACCAGTGGCAACGATATATATATGGCGCGCGGAAGATTGACGTATGGATCTCTCAATTCTTCTGTCATAAAGTTCAAGTAACTCCTGTAGGCAAATAGTAACAGGAATGAATTTCTTAGGATATTATTATGCCGTGTTGGGAAACGCACGCTCATGCCCAACCTGAAGGATTATTGATATAAGGCATACCTAAATAATTAATATTATTATAATGACTGAAAATTTTATTAATTAATTATATTAACTTTTTGTAATTATTAATTAATTTAGAATTTAGAATTAATTGTATCTTTTTCAGGATACTACAGAATATTTACGTAGTAAGAAAACAAGACTACTATACAACCATAACAACAGGTCTCTAGATACCTTAACTAATATTAAATCTCTTCAAATGGTCTAGCCTGTACAGGTTACCAAAGAATTAAATGTACGTATATGTACATACATACTCGAAAAGCAGTAAGGGAAACGAAAACAACATAGGTAATTTTGAGATTTTTAATACTGCTGTTTTACTTATTACGTTACGTTACGCTAAATAGGTTAAGTATTGAAAAAAAAAATTGAAATAATTTACCATCCTGAATAAGAGAATATTCCCGAATAGAATGCCACAGACCACTCAGCAGCTGAAGTCTTTGTGCCTTCCCATCCATTTTCAAAATGCTCTGTGCCACCTGAAGAATATCAAAATAATTTAGATACTTTCTCCAGAGCACCATCCTTCAATGAACACAAAATTTTACGCTTGTTTTTTTCTTTACTTTGTTTAGCTAAAGTTGTAGCTAAATATACATTGACATAAAATATCTATACATTACATACAATATCTCAATTTATATAATTTATTACAAGTCTTACCTCTCAATATCCACACAATGCCACCAATAATTATAATAACCAAAGCCATAATCTTCGTAAACATAAACACGTTTTGTATCCTTGTTGTGAACTTAATGTCATAAGCATTTATGAATGTTAGAATACCTGTAAAATATAATCTTCAAGTATTCATGATTTTACTGGTTCACTGATAAATAGTCAACTAATTTAAAGCTGACTAAGTTTTAATATTGGGTAACATTACATGTGTTTAATAGTACATTTTATGTAGATGTTTTTTACATATTATTATATATATATATAAATGTAACATTTATAGTAAGCATTTTTAAGTCACTGGTTTCTTAGAATATTTGTTTTACAAGATGACTGTGTGAACATTTTTATTGATATAATAATCTTATTGCTAGACAAAACTCACATATAGTAGATGCTGCAATTAATTTCCGACTGATGTGATTTACTGGGCAGTTAGGAAATAGTGGCTCCACAACGTTGTTTGTGAATGTCAAAGCCATAATTGCATTAGTGCTTGGTCTAAAACAATTATAAGATATGTTACGTATGGAATATACAGGATATCTTAGCTATACATTTTACATTTTTTTAACTACAAGGAGTCATAGTCTGCTAAATGTATACCAAAGCTTCAATAGATCACTACATTAATGCCACCACTGGCTTTGAGACATGTTAACAGTCTCAATCATATTTCTCCACGAAGTGGGCTGAATCAATCATATCCTTTGTTGCACAAAAAACTTTCTACCTGTACATTTACCAATGTATCAAAATGTTGTCATTAACATATTAATTATCATCTATGACTATGAACTATCACCTATGAATGGTAGAAAGTGCCGGAAATAAGTGCAAGCAGGATTTGTGAAAGATTTGATACACAAAAATAATCCAAGCCATATATGAATTGTTGAGAAATCAAGCAATGTACTGTGTATACTGTGTGTACTGTTATATACATAGACTGCAGCAAAGCCTGGAGTCATATATGTGACATTCTGGCTGAAATGACTGGCTACATCTATTATTATTCAACAACAAAAAATTATAATTGTGAAGAATAAAAAGAAAATTAAAAGTTAAGTACAAATTATCTGACTTTCTAGAGATAATAAATAAGGTGGTTTTAGCGGTAGGCAGCGGCTTGGCTCTGCCCCTGGCATTGCTAAAGTCCATGGGCGACGGTAACTACTCACCATCAGGTGGACTGTATGCTCGTCTGCCTACAAGGTCAATAAAAAAAAGGTGTTGGTTTTTGTAAAATAACTTATAATTCTTGACCCAGCCCTAAGAGATACTTACACAAAGACAAAATTAGCATCCCATAGATATAAGAAGGCTGGTAATGGACCATATGCTTCATTAATGTAATGATAATCTCCTCCACTTTGAGCGAGAGTAGTTCCTAAAGAAAAATGGCTTTTATATCAATGAACATTTAAAAAAAAATCTAAAGGTTTTGGTATAATCTTCAGTGATTTTAATAAAAGCTTTCTTTTTATTGGTTTGATAAGAGGACTAGCTTATGGCCAACCTGGTTGTTAAGCAATTACCCGAACCCATTGATATCAATAATGTAAATGCCTCCACCCAACTTGAGACACTATTAGTTTAAAGCCTTAATTTCACAGCACAACAGCTGCACCTTCATTCAAACCAAAGTCTTACTGCAAACTGTGCTTACAGAAACGCATTACTGCTTCACGGCAAAAATAACCTGATACTACCTGTGCTCAAAAGATGTCCTGCTACTGCCTAATTATGTAAATTATAATATTTGCAGGTATATTTATTTTTAATACACAATGTTATACCTTCACTGTGGAAATATTTGTAAATTAAGCATGTATTTCATTAGAAAAAATAGATAACTGCCCGCAGATTTTGAACTCCAACATAGTGACAGCCCTGGATAACTATGCACCAGGTGCCTTATTCTTTAGACGTCTTTTGGTCCTACTATTCTGCTTTTTTAAAAAATCGTCTTAATTTTTGTACAAATAGCTCAATTTATAGTTTAAATACAATAAGTTATTACACATGTTGTACTTACCAAGTTCAGCATACGACATAGCACCAAGAGTGGCGAGTACACCGCAAGCTGCCCACACAATCAAAGCACTCCATACAGAACCAGTTTTTTCTAAGACTTCTTTTGGAGATATGAAAATCCCACTTCCGAAGATTATTCCCAGTATAATAGCGACCCCTTCTAGCAACCCTAACTGCTTCCGCATTTTTATTCTTTCTTCGACCATTTTGTTATCTTTTCTGCGATACTATTTGAAACTAACTCAACAGGTTAAATATGCACCCCCTTTACTTTAACCTTTGAAAAATTTTCACATCAGATTAATTTTGTACCAAATCTTAGATATAAATGAGAAAGGAGGTTGAGGTCTCTTCATATTAATTAATCAATAATGTGAATATTGATATTTTGTCGATGCGCTATGGACTCACGAAAGGGATGAAAACATGAAAATGAAACATGCTGAAACCACAACTACGATCCATGGAAAACGGGAAAAGGTGAAACAAAACGCAGAAATAATACTATACTTTATTCAATACAATGTCGCTTGCAATTCATTACACAAAACGCAAAACACAGATTACCGTAAAATGGGGTAAATAGGGACAAAATCGAACTTCAGATTGAAGGAATTTTAAAATAGTTCCAATTAAATAGTCACTGCTCAACCAAAGAAATAAGTTGAGTCTTGAACGTACCTAGGTGATAAAAACCGTTACATTATTTTAATTATTCAATTTAAAGAAATAATCGGAAAAATAATGGCCACGGGTAAGGATTAAATTGGGATATTTGTAAGGGTTGTCAGTTCGCGGTACTGCGATATATAGGTAGGTAGGTAAGTGCCATACAATTATATAAATGGACCGAAATGATGAATACAATCCATAATTTAAGCACAATACACAATATAGTGTAAATTAAGCTGGTTTCTATTCCGAAGCGATGTGACGTGAATGATAATCAACATTACAATGATCAAAAAAAGTATGTGCATGTTATATTTTAGAAAATTATTATTTAATTTCCTTAAAAATCACAACTCTGAAACAAAATCATAAAATAGAATAAAAAATAGAAAACAAAAGGACTGGAAATGCAATAATACAATTTTATTTAATCAACATTTTCAAAATAATCTTTGAGCAAGAGTAAGATATCAGGTGAATAAGATAAAAAAGCAGATTTATCTGATTACTGCCTATAATAACAAAAATAAAAGAAATTCTTTCTAAGCTAAATAACTAAACTCAATTAATTCACTCACTCATAATTGGAACCTAGATATCTCGGATTTTTAATTAATGTTACATTTAAAATCTGAGGCCTGTTTTTATTTGTATGTGCGTTGTGAATGTTAAAAAAATCATGATTCGACGCGTGAATAGATTCTGAAATAACAAAAGTTTTGATTCGTTTGAGTTCTTTTTAATTTTTAATTTTATTTTATTGCTATAAAGGACATACGACCGGGCAGATATTACAAGGTAAATGTCGCGAAAAAATGTAATTATATATATACTTTTCTTTTACCTATAGTACTTACATAAACTAACTGATAAACACATTAACCTTCTTTACATCACGCAATTGAGTGATAGTATAGGCTAAAAAATCTATTATAAGATATCAGTGACAACCCTAACAAGCCATCCCTATTTTGTCTTTTGGCGTTCCAATTTTGTGTTTTCTCGTCCCAAATTTTTCCAGTCTCGTTCCAAATTACCCCACATACGTCCCAATTTTCCCCAAAAAGAAAGGAAAAAATATAAATTTTTTATTTTGTCGAAATATTGTATTTAAAATAAGAATATTGCAAGTTACCGTTTGTTGTGGTATTTCCAGGTGTATTAAAAACTTATATAAACTGTGATCTTATTGAAAAAACAACGATAATATTACTTTTTTTAAAAGTTCTTTAAGCTGTTTTAAAACGCACTTTTCAACCACTATTTTCAATTTAATTTGACGAATTTTTGGGACCAACTTAACTCATATTTAGTACTTCCATAGTTAGCTTGGTTTTTCTTCTATACATTGATAAATATTAACATAAACAAAATTAGGTAGATTCCGTGCTACAGGTACTTTGAGAATCTTCCGCAGGTTTGTCCCAATTTACCCCAGGATCCCAATTTACCCCATGTCATGGTACACACCAAATTTAATATTGCGAGGAAAGCCGTCTCATGCAAAGTAACTTTTTTTTTTTGGTCTTAATATGTTAAGAGTAAGAAAGTAAATAATAACAGATTTCATTACGACTCAAAATGTGATAATAAAAGTTTATTGTTTAAAAAAAGGACATTAAATAAATTAATGGATAAGTGTAAATGGTTATTTAAATTTTAGTGAAATAAGTTTAGCAAAGTAGTAAAATACAAAAAATAAAAATTTGGATTTAAATAAACTTTATCATATACAACTCGTGAATTATGTAAAAAAAAGAAAATCTAAGCTGTCTTCGGTATTGGGATAACTATAACTTTGAAGAGTTTTTTATCCACCAGTAGTAGAATTTTCTATCCACCTAAAAAATATAGTAAAATAACGTTACGAGTCTCCGTGTATTGTCCATAAGAAGTCATTTTATGGACAATACACACAGACTCCTCCTTGATACTGATACCCAAGAGCATTTTTCTATAGCTGTCTCCATAACAGTTTTATTATGTCCTAATGTATAGAAGAGGGAAGCGAATTAGGCTTAGCAGTTGTATCTGTCTTTCTTTCAGCTTACAGATATCCATTGCTGGACTCAATCTAAGCCTCAGACTCAACCGTTGGCGTCAACCTACGCCTACTCACAACTACCAGTCTTGCTTTGCCTGCAACCAGCGGATTCCCGCGACCTTCAAAAGATCGTCGATCCACCATGTGGGAGACCTACCCACGCTAAGTTTTCTGGTACGCTAGATTTTTTCTGCTGTAGCAGCTATTTGTTCTGCGAGCAATGTTCCCTGCCCATTGCCATTTTAACCTCGGAATCCTTTCAGCTATGCCGGTTTTCATGCTTCTTGATCTTACAGGGAAACTCCACGCATAGCCTCTTTCAGTTTCATATGTCACAATGAGAGGAATACACACTGGTCAAAGGCTTTCGTCTTGAGACATTGCGGTATTTCCGAATCTGAGTTAAATTCGACGATTGACCTCTTTTTCATAGTTTGATCTAACTTGCTGGACAGTTTGCCCTAGGTAATTAAGCTGGTAAACAAATTTGAGGGTAGAGCTTTCGAAGTTTATGAGATCAGGTACACATTTTGGAGTGCAATCGCAGAAATTATTATTTAAGTGTATCATATTGTATTTTTCTTACTTTGCCCAATGATCGAAATTAGGCCTTAATCACTAACACAACCCTGAATAGTTAGAATTCAAGTTCAAAATATGATGTAACTACGAAGTATTGATCACAGAATGCCTGTACCGTTTGTTCACCGTTTTCTGGTAGCAAGAATAAACTCCTCAACGGCGACGGTGGTGTTACGGTAAAATAACGGAATCGGTACCGTCCCGAAGAATTCGTATAGATATACAAACATAAATATATATTTGGAAGGGATACTAAAACACTTTTGTAAAGTATATTAAAGTATGTATTTTAAACATCCGTGCATGCATGATGTTTAAACTTTCCTCGTGTTATTTAAAATAATTTGGGTGTGATTTCGGGATCAGGGTCAGGGTAGTATTGCAATAAATCGGCAACGGGTGCTTCTTGGTCCTCATAAAAGTCACATGCAAGAAGGTATTCCCTTTTTGAATAGTCGTCACCTTTGCAATATATTTCACCTGTAACAAAACCAAAGTATAAGAGTGTGCGATGTTTTCAAATAGAAAAAATAAAGATTTGGAAATACTATAACGTTAGTAATAAATTGATTACGAACCTTCAACATCCATAATGTGAACAGGAGTCTTGGATTCCAAGGCTCCGACACAATAATGTTCCTCCGTCAAATCTGGATGCCAGTACATTATGGCATCTCTGCAAGAAGTTCCAGCAATAGGTAGCAATATACGGTCCTAAATTCAATAAAAAATTTATAATTGCATTACAGCAAAGTAATAGTTCAATTATGATTTAGTTTAAATCCACCCATTTTGTTACGTACCTTGCAAATTATTTTATTGTTAACAATTGGTTCTTTGACCTCTCCAGTACAGAAGAACTTACGTTTCTTTCGCATAATTAGTGTGCTTACTTCCAAAACTGTTTTAATGCTATTCCCTAAAAAGTCACAGAATTATTCGCTAAAGACACAGAAGAATTTTATTAAAATATAATTAGTGTGCTTACTTCCAAAACTGTTTTAATGCTATTCCCCAAAAAGTCACAGAATTATTCGCTAAAATCACAGAATAATTTTATTGAAACTATTTTACCTTTCGCCCCGTTAATTGCTTCTTGTTCTCGCATTCCTCTTGCCTGTGTCTCTCTACTATTTTGTTGCTTCATGTAATTTGCAAGTCTATACATAGCGTCAACGAATTCATCTATTGGACCTAAACGAACAATCATAAGCTCAGAGGAATGATAATCACAACTGCGATACATCCATTGAATAGGAATCAAAGTATGAATTTACTGTTAAAGTAACGAGTACATGTAGGTAATTTAAAGTTAATCTACATGGTCTCAGATTTACAATGCAATCAATAGGTATGTGTGTCAAAATTATAGAGATTTCAAAAAAGAGAGTTATTTTCCTATACGCCTTCTTATGTGTTTCTAACGCAGCCAATGCAGTTCGCAATATTTGTACCTACATTGCGAGTTTGGCGAGAATACGACAAACGAAAGCACTGCTTTAGGTTTAGTTCCGATTTTTATTGGAAACTTCAACTTGAAGAATGCCATAGGCCACCACGAGGAAGACCATAATTATGACTAATTGAAAGTAATAGTGGAAAAGTCAACCTTGGTTAAAATTTGTGTCACGGTACCTATGAGATTGATTTACATACTCTAATGAATCAATTGGCCAAACAACTAAAATATACTCGTGAAAAGGACCCTTAACTGATGTGCCAATAAAGAAAGGAATAATAAATGTACTCTACATTTTGAAGATTGCTTTGCTCTTACGAGTGGGTATCAAATTGAAAGGATTTTAAAGTAACTTGTGACGCTAGGAGAAAAATTCATCAGTCTACAATAACCGCAAACTCAAATGCAATGAAGAAAACCAGGCGGAATACCTTTTTTTTTTAACGCTG